CGCTTTTTTCTGTATCAAAAATTTAAATACCTGCTTCTCTCATTAAAAATTTTTCTGGAGGATAAGATTGATTCCGACTTGTAGCAAATTTCAAGGGCTTTCAAATGAGCCCAAAATCAAAATTTACAGTAATCCATAAGTGGTCGAAAATATTTTTTAAAGTAGAAAACCCCTGTTTTACGTTGATTTTCGAGGTCTCAGGATCTCGGCTTAGGTTATAGATATGGACCTACTTTCTTTTTATTTTCTTATAATATCAATGTATAAGTTTACTGGAATTTTTGTAGATTTTTCCTATTGTTGGAAATAACTTTTTTGGAAGGTGGATGTATATTTATGGGACACCTATTTTACAAATAAATGGTTGTAAGTATTGAGTGCATAATTAGAATTTTTTCAAATTTTAAATATAGTTTCAAAATGCCTTTCTGCATTATGTATTAAAATTTCATTCAAATCCGTTAACAACTTACGGACTTAAACCACAAAATATAGGTGGATGTATATTTTTGGGACAGAGTGTACATCTTTATCTAATTATTTTCTTTATTGGCTCCCCCTTAATTTCTTTAATGCTTATTTTTCTACAACTAATTTTGCACGTCTTGGACAAGGACAATACGCAGCATCTTCTCCAGGTTCTCCATTTTCTCCCGACTATTTTTATAAAAATATTAAAAATTTCTAAATATAACAAAACAACTTACATCTCCATTTGGTCCTTTCGGCCCTGGAATTCCAGCCAAACCAGGCTCTCCAACCTCTCCAGGCTCTCCCGCAGCCCCAGCCTCTCCATCAATGCCTGGATTGCCCAATTCTCCTGTTTCACCTTGTTCACCTGCAGGACCCTTCGGTCCTGGTGGTCCTTGACCTCCAGAAGTTGCCGGCAATCCTGTTTCTCCTTTAAAAAATAATTATATTTAATTTTATAAATTAAAAAAATTAATTAATAATTGAAATTAATAATTGGAGTAAAAATTAATAATTAGAGAATAAACTAAACATACACTAATTAGTTTTTATTTAATAACCTGGTATGCCTGTCTCTCCATCTTCTCCAACAGGTCCTATAAAATTTGAATTAACCAAATTTGACAAATATGTGTAAATTAATTGCCTGAATCTCCAGGTTCTCCTGGAGGACCAGGTGCACCACTTCTTGCTGGTAACCCTATAGGGCCTACAGGACCTCGTGGCCCTGGCATTCCTGGCCTTCCGGGTCTACCAATCTGTTAAAAACAAAAATAATCTAAATAATTATAAATAGAAAAACTTCTCCAGGAGGTCCAGCTGGACATTGAATACAAGGTTGAGCATATAATTGATCACCTAATGAGTCACCAGAAATTCCTGGAGGACCGGGAAGTCCGGGAATTCCATCAACTATATTTTAATTAAATTTTAGATTAAAATCTCTACATACACCCAGGTTCTCCATCCTTTCCTGGAGGTCCTTTAGGTCCAGAAGGACAATTATTTGGATAAATAGTTGAGCATTCTTCAATTTAATTAAAACAAGATTATTTTCTTTTTAATTTTACCGCATTGTGGAGCCAATCTCTCGCTTCTAGTGGATCTGGATGTGCGGAAAATACTTTCAAATTTGTTTTTAATTAATTGAGAATTTTGTTTTAATTCCTCATCTTTTTGATTAGATAATTCAACATTTATTTGTTTAAATTCTAATATTCCATTCCAAGCCTCGTCAGCCAAAGTCTTTAAAAAATGTTTTTAATTGAAGATTAGTTTTAATATAATAGAATGGTTGCAGGTTTTTGTGTTGAAAAGGGGTGGGTTCCGATTTCCGATATTCCCGGCTTTGTTGTGAGGAAAGAGGAGATCACATTTCTTTGTCCTAAAAAGGATCATTCCCAAAAATTAATTTGGGAATTAACTATAAATCACTATAAGCTTATTTTATTGTGAATTATATAAAATTGTAAATTTTAAAAAATAAAAAAAAACATTAAATCCATCCATTTCTCTTTCTAATTTATCAATCATTAAAATAGTATCATTAGTTATAAAATTCAAAGCAACAATACTTATAGACATCATTATTAAAGAAACAAAAATAGATAACCAAAATATAATACGAATTGAGTTATCTATTTCTTCAATTTTAGATTCATATTTTGTTGAGGAATTATTAAAGAAGGAAAACATTTATATTTAAATTTAAAATATTTATTTTAGGATTGAATATACATAAATTAAATTATTAAATAAATTAAAATAATGCTGAAAAAACCAAATTTGTTTTCTAACTGTAAAAATGATGTTATAACACAAGTAATTTTTGCCTTGATTGAAAACTGGGAATTAGTAAGTGAAGGAAAATTGTTTGGGGGTTAAATTTCCTGTTTGGATCTTCCATAAAGAAGAAAATAGTTTCTGGGCATTACAAAAATTATTTCGGGCTAACTTACTCTGATCCAAATATCAGTCTCAAAATTACAAAATTTTAGATAATTCTTTTTTCGTCTCTAAAAATATTCCCTAATTACCTATTTGAACTATAAAATTAATAAGAATGATTTATTTTCCCCAAATCCGTTATAAGGTTTGGCTGTTCTGAATGTTTAAAAAACTTTTTTTATTATAAAAAATATAAATACATTCCCCGCTGATTGCGCATTAAAAAAATTTTTTTGACGATTCTAGTTGTAAATATTTATAACTAGTTTTATTACATTCCTTTTACAAACAAAAATTATTTTAACAAATAAAATTTACTTTATCTTTGTTTATCTCTCTCTACTTAAATCAAAAATAACAATGGAACAAGGAGTGGCTTTTTGATATTCTTTTTAAATTTAAAAAAAAGAAATAATTAAATAAAAAAGAAGAATTCTTGTCAATTATAGTACAAACAATTTTGTTAAACACGACCCTAAAAATTAAAAAAAAATATTTAATAAATATTCTAAAATTAAAATATAATTTATTTTAATTTAATAAAATTGTATTTTACTAAATAAAAAATAAAAATTATTTTTATAAAAATATTCCCCTTTTAAAGTATAATAAGTGACAGATTCTGATTTAAGTTTATGATTTTTAAAATTAAAAAAGATTAAAAATTAATTTTGATTTAAATTTCAAAAAATTATTATTTTTAAATATATATTTAAATTTAAATAATTTTATATTTATTTTTACCTTAATTTCCAAAGAATTTAAAACATTAAAGGCTCCAGAACCGTGATGATGTTGTACTTTTCTGCCGCCTTCTTCTGTTAATACTATCCCTTTTTTACCGGCCAAAAATTCAGTTACGTCTTTACCATTTGCGTGTTTTAATACTAATGGACCTTTAAAATATTTTTGGAGAAAAGTATAAATTATTTTTATAAAAATTTAAAAAAGATTTTGTTTTAAAAATTATAATAATTTTTATAATAAAATAAATTATAAATATTTAATTTACACCTCCAGGATGATGTGGAACAAAAGAAGTTATATCAAACGTTCTATTTCCATAATGTACAATTATTTTTTTGTCAGCAGATTGAATTTTTAACTTTTAATTAATTTTTATAAAAAATTATTTTTAAATTTTAAGTTGTTTATATGTAAATATTCCCTTTAAAAATTTAATTTTGCTTTTTTATATTTTCTAGTGAGAATTATAGTTTTGAATTAAGTTAACAACTAAAGATCGGACTGAGACGGGATTTAGAACGAAAATCTTGGTTACCGAGAATCGAGATTTTTTGAGATAACGATTTTTGTATGACCAACCCTCCCAGTCTGATATCTAAATTAATTATTAACATTTTCGATACTAGAAAATTATAAAAGGTTGTCCTTATTTTCCACTGATTCCATAATTTTATTTAAGTATTTAATTTAAATTTTTTCTCACCACAAAAAGTGCCAATAAAACTGTGAGAACCCAAATTAGTGTAAAACCTCGTAGAAACATTCTAAAATTTAAATAAAATTTTAAAGATCTCTTTTAATCATAAAATAAATAAAAATACCTTTTAACCCACAGAAGAGAGAGAATTAATTTCCAACACAATTTTCTCTTCTTCTCAACAATTCTCAACAGAATGTTTCACGCAAAAATAATTTTTTACTTATTTATTAACGTGTTTAGGGTTAGCTAGGCCAAATTAAATGTTTTTCTGTTTGTATATATTTCCAACTTCGCCCACTTAAACATTCGCCGATTCACTTATTTGGCTGCTTTTTTATTTAAAATGAAGAAATCAATCCCCCCCCCCCCCTTACTTGGTATAAAACAAGTTCTTAAAAATAAAAGTTTTTTTCTTAAGAATTTTTCTTAAAAAATTTTTTTCTTCTTGCAAATTGTAATTTTGAGTGTTTTTCTTTATTTTTAATTTTTTCTTCGTTTTTTTCGTCGTCACTCATTTCTCTCTCAATTTTATTTTCTCTCATCAAAAACACATTTTAATTTAATTTAATCATTATTTTATTTTTTCTTTTTTTAATCATACACACAATTATCGTCGTCGTCATCAAGTTTGTAAGTACTTTTTTATATTCAAAAAATAATCTGACAAAATAATTTTTTTCTTTAAAAATAAAAATCAATTAATTTACACTTTTATAAATAACAAAAGATCAGCAAAAATAACAAAAAACAATTAATTAATTATTTAGAAGTTTGTACTTTCCCTTTGCGTCATTTAAAAATAAAAATAAAAAATTGTTTGTTTAAAAATTATTTTTTTGGAAATCGTCTCCTTTGATGATAAAAAAAAGTTTTTTTTAATTATAAAATGTCTACAAAAATTTAAAAGTCTACTATTTAAGGCTTAAATAAAATTACTATTTAAACAAACTTTTCTTTTCAAAACATTTTCACAACATTATTCATTCGGTGTGCGGACATAACGGGACGGATATATCCGGGATTACTTTAAGAAAAATACTTAAACTAGCCGTTGCTTGTTTAAGTTGGTTCTAAAACATAACGGACTTTTCTTCAATCCCGAAATCAGTAGAGTACCTGTTCCTACATTGAAATACCCCAAAATGTCCGCATGCCATTCATTCATTTTTTTATCCATTTTTTAATCACCTACCAATTAATTTCTATTTTTCTAGCAAAATGTGGATATCATTATTATTTTCAACAACTTTAATATTTCCTTTACTTTCATCAATTATTTTATTTACTTGCTGCAAGAAAAAACAAAAAATAAGCAAGAGGGAATTAATTAAAAATAAAATGTCTCAATTAGAATATCCACAATATCCGCTAATTCAAAACGACAATTCTACTCTCGGTAATTTTGAAGAAGAAAAAATTAATTTTTAAAAATTCTTTCTTTCAGTTTGTACACTTTCCAAGTCTCTAAACACAGCAAAAACTTCCGGGGTTTCAACAGCAGAACTTGAATCTTCTACTTCCAAAACAGCTTTAACACAAGATAATTTGTCTTTAAATTCTGAGAAAATGGAAATTATTGCAAATAACAACAGTGAAAAGGCAACAATAACAGATGGAAAGTCAGAAATAACTATTAGTAGTAAAAAGACGTCTTTGACATTAAGTAATTGAGAAAGAGGAGAGAGGAGGGGATTTTAATTGTTAAAATATACCTAATTTATTATTTTTACCTCAATATATATTGTTCATTTTATGACCTTCTTTTTTGCTTTAACTTATTTAAAATAAAAATAAATATTTTCTAATTTTGTCTGTTTGTTTTAAGAAATTAAATGTATCAAAAAATATGTAGACAATTTAATTTGTCCTAGAGTGCCACAAAGTGTGGGGGATGCCCAAAGTGCCCCCCCCCCCTATTTGAGTGATTTCTATAACAACCCCCCTAATTTTGAAAATAGTTTTTAAATTGTTATTTTAATTTTTTATTAATTAGCTCTAAAATGAATAAAAAAAGATTGTCTAAATAATTAGGAGTATTAGAAAGGATATGTGATAATGAATAGAAACAATTATTTCATAATTATTGAAACTATACATATATTTATTTAAAGTTCCAAAATTTATTTAAAATATTTTTTGAAATTATTTCGGCCTTATAATATCAATTTGTAATTAAACAAATACTTTCCTTCTATTTTTTATTTAAAATTTTCTTTTTAATTATTTACAAGTTAAATTTACTAATTATTATTAATTAATAAACAACTTTAAAAAATAAAAAAGGAACGTTGAAAGCAATGATCCTTAAAAATATTATTTAAAAATAAATAAAAACAAGATTTCTTTTAAAATAAATATTTTTATCCGTTATAAGGAATTCTTCAATTTTTTTCCTTATCGTTTTATTCATCAACCTTCAAAAAATATTTTTATATTAATTTGTACTTTTTTCCAGCTTTATACCCTTTTCTGCACTTGTTTTTCGCGCAGAACTCATTAAAAGCTAGCTAGCCAGTTTCCAGCCTCGGGCACTTTACTTTCTTTTCAATTCTCCTCATTACTCTTTTTTATTACTAGCTACATACATATATTCCTCCCTCCATTCATTTGATCAAAAAATTATTCCGGCAGGCGGTTCCTTCATCTTATTTTTGTCTCCTTTATAAGTTTTGGCTTCACACATTAATAAAACCAAAATAAAAATAAAATATATAAATTTATATTTATTTTTTAAAATCAATTTGTGTTCAGTTTCTTTGTTAGTGTTCAAGTACTTGATCAGAAAATTAATTTAATTTTTATCAAATTTATTCTTAAATCATTTAAGAAAATAATCGAAAAATTTTTCCGAAAGGCCTTAGAAGACAAACTATCCTACCTACCGTAAATGTCCTAATAGAAGCCCATGCCCTAATAGAAGCCCACCCGATGGGGGGTATTGAAAAATATAAGCCTAGAGCTTATATCATGATATTTACTGTATATTAACTACAGTCAGAAAAAAATTATTTTAATTCTCACGCCTTCAATTATTTCCCTCAATATACTAATTAAATTTTTAAATTTTATTTTCAATCATTTCTTAATTTTTTTAAAGGTTTAAGGGTTATTATACCCAAAATGAATACTGTAATCGTTAATTATGATTCACAGGTGAAGGCTTACAAGTAAGTTTCAGATGTATCTTTTGATTAGAGAAATTCTATTGTTTTTTGTTAGATTTGTTGCCGGTTCAGCCCTCAGTTTTTCTTTAGCATCTGTTTTTGCTGTTTTTGTTACACTCCCTTTAATGTATAATTATGTTGGTAATGTTAGAAGGCAATTAAGTGGGGATATGCTTTTATGTCAAGTAAATTATTAACCAATCTAAATAAATTCCTAATATAATTCTAAATTTCTAAGGGTTCTTCCTCGGAACTTTGGAGCGAAGTAGAATTACTAAAACACTCACCCTTCATCTCACACAGTAATCGAACAGTTCGGCAAGCATATGGAGGCGAATCAGCACCAGTTACTAGTGGAAAGGCTGGTTGTAAACCTTGCTGCTCGCCTGGACCCCCAGGCCCTCCGGGCAAGCCTGGGGCGAATGGAAAGAATGGAAAGCCTGGAGCGGCCGGGGTCCCTGGAACACCGGGACGTGAAGCGGCTGTCTGTGCAACACCTCCCCCATGCAAGCCTTGTCCATTAGGGCCTCCAGGGCCAACTGGACCGCCTGGAGCACCTGGAGATGTTGGGGCTGGTTAGTTTTTATACATGAAAAATAAAATATTAACCATACATATTAAACTTTAGAAGGAACACCTGGTCGCCCAGGGCCGGAGGGAGCACCTGGAGAGCAGGGTTAGTAGTATATTCTTTAATTAATTACAACACATGCTTAATTATTTTTCAGGACCTAAAGGTCCTCCTGGATCTCCTGGAGAAAAAGGATCCCCAGGACAGCCAGGAGAGTAAGTTTAGACTTTCAAAATACTCTAACAAATTTTTCAAAAATAATAAGTAATATTTAGGCCCGGAGCTCCTGCCAACAGTGAACAGGTTGAAACAAAAATTAACTTTAACTCAAACTAATTTGTTAAACTTTTAGCTCGTTCCCGGAGAAGCTGGTCCGCCAGGCGAATTAGGCCCGCCCGGACCACCTGGTCCACCGGGACAGCCTGGAGCACCCGGAGTGCCTGGGGCTTCTGGACCTAAAGGTGTATTTTCTTTAAATATTTGCAAGTAAAAATTTTATTAGGTCCAAATGGCCCTGAAGGCCCGCCTGGTCCAGAAGGCAAACCTGGAGCGCCTGGACCCCCAGGAGGTGTTGGTCAATCAGGCGAAAAGGGGATATGTCCAAAATATTGTGCAATTGATGGTGGTGTATTTTTTGAAGATGGAACAAGAAGATAATTTAGACAAAAAATAAAAGACAAAATTTTAGAAAAAATAAATACAGATAAATATTATTTTGAATAAAATAAATTGCTTATATTTAAACCGAAGTTGTTTTTGTTAAGAAAAACGAGTAAAACTAGAAGATCAATAAGATTATTAAAACATGGTCTACCAAAACAATTGATACATAACGTCTTAAATTAAATTTACAGGAAATTGGATAAATTGTTACATAGAGTTGTTGAATGTGTTGAAGGTTTTGAAGACCCCGAATAAATTTAAAAATATTATTTTGTCCAGTCGAATGTATACAAAATTGGGACTAAAAACTGTCAACTTTAATGAAGTGTACCCATATTTAAAGTTATAAACTAGGCAGCTTTGTATTCCTATCCAGGGGTCAATAATAAAAGTACATTTAATTAAGTGTGTACTTAAATATACTAGATAAGTCCGAATATAAACATAAATATTCTTTAGTTTCTGTTTTATATCTTTTAAATAAAAATATCGGTTGAAGATTATTAAAAAAAATTTTTAACAAATAAATAAAGGTGAATAATGTTTAAAGTTGAAAAATATTTTAAAAAAGAAAAGAAGCTTCTGGAAAAAAAAATAAAAACTTTTTTAAACGTGAGAAAATAAAATTATTAAATATTTTCTTGTATATATTAATAATAATTTTATATTAATAATCATCTCTTTTTTATTTAAAAAGGCTTTTATTTTTTGTTTAAAGTCAATTTCATTTAAAACTTTTCTTGGTTAATCATTTTTTTATTTTTTAAGAATAAAATAAATATTTTTGCTTTTAAATATTTTATTTAAAATTTAAAAATTTAATTCCAAAATTTTATTTTTAATAAAAGTCAAATTTTAGGCTGTCAAGACTTGCTGCGCATGTGTTAGCTATTTAAATAAACAAATATATGTTACCATGTGCCTCAAGTTTAGATAACTATTTGACTAGTTAAATTAATAAAATAAATTACAAAAATAATTATAAATTGAAAATAAATATTTTTCTGATAATTTTTTATTCACAATTTTTAATTTCCAAATTATCAAACAAAATTAATTTTATTTGTAAGTTAAATCGGACTTGACAATGGACATGGAGTTTGGTATCTGTTTCCGGATATTTACGGCTGATATAGGCGAATACCCGCAGCTATTTTGAAATTATCTGTATCCGTACACGTTTGATTTGAGTTATATATTTTGTGTAAATTAAGGGAATTTACTTAAATTTTTATTTTTCTTAGAGGAAAATTTAATTGTTGGTATCTTTTTTAGGAAATAAAATACATAATCAAAAAAAAGATAAATATTTATTTCATAAAAACATCACTACCAAAACTACACTAAGAATAAATATTTATTTATTAAAAAAGCTTTTCGCTCAGTTTCATTTAAATTAGGGTTTGACCCCGACCCCGAACCCCGACCCCGTTCCCGAACGATTTTTTCACGATTCTCCCCGACCCGAACCCCGCCCCGAAAAAAAGTGAAAACCCCGTACCCCGACCCGAAAAGTTTCGGGGTTATCGGGGTTTTATATACCCAAAAAATGCCATTTTTGGGAGAATTTTAAGAGGAAAATTTTAAAAATTTCCTCCCAATTTACTTTGCTTTTGTTATTTTTGAAAGAAAAATGAAAGAAATATCAAAATTCTTTTTCCTACCCTGTTAAGAGGTTTGTGGTTGAGTGGCTTATTTGTTGGTTCTAGCCTATAGGTCCATTAATTAGGTTTGGGTTCGGATCCAAATAGGCAGAGATCGTTTGTTTTAGGATTTTTCTTTACAAAAACAAGAGTTTTTTTAATTTTAAAATGTTAATCTTATTTTTAAATATTGTCAACCATAAAAAACAATGCAAGATTTTTTATTTAGTGTTAAAATTTCAAAAATTTTCGTTTGCAGCGCTAACCCTAAAAACTTCTATAATTTTCGCCTGCGGCTCTGAAAATGTATTTTCCAACTTATTTTCATTAATTTCTGAATAAATTAACGAAAATAGATCGAAAATGGCTTATTTTTAGAGCATTTTTTCTTTAAAAAATTTTTTCAGTAGACCCCCGTACCCCGACCCGAACCCCGACCATATTTTGCTCCCCCGACCCGAACCTCGCCCCGAAACATTTCGAAAACCCCGTACCCCGACATACCCGCCCCCGAACGTTCGGGGTCAAACCCTAATTTAAATTTTTCGACATTATCCATGTTAAAAAGAAGAAAATTTTGTAATATTTCTTTTAATAAATATTTTTGTTAATTTCTGCTAATTTTTAATTAAATAAAAAATAATTTCATATTTTCAATTTATTTCGAATTTTTAAATAAAAATTAGACAATAAATTTAATCTCTCTCACTATTTCTCGAGAATATTGTGCACAATCAAATAATTCCCCAAACTAATATTTATCGTTTATTTACATTTTCTTTTTTTCGTTTTTATTGTAAAAATATTTACTTCTGGAATTCAGATAAAATTTATAATATTTATGTTAATTATTAATAAAATTAATTTAAAAAAAGGATTTTTAAATAAATTAATTTAAATATTTCTTTATTTATTAAGGAGGAAGATAAATCTTTGATTACCTTGCCTGATTATTTTTAATTTTTTTCTGTTTTCTATGCCTATAAATTAAAGGAAATCTTTCAAAAATTTTTCGTGAGCAACAAATATTTAAATATTTTTCTTGGATAAAATTGGTTTTCAACACTTCAAACTTTTGCTCTGATTTTAAATTTTATTTTAGTATTTTATTTCTTTTTAATTTATTTTTAATTATGATTTTATTTAAATTTTTTTTTGTAATATATTTTTTCTAAGAAATATTTTTTTAATTTTTTAGATTATAAAGTTAAAATAAAAAAATATATTTATTCGCCCATATGTAGATTCGATCAATTTTTATTTTTGTATGATACTTCCCACGCAACGTTTTCTCTTATCTAAATATTTAATATTCATTTATTATTTCACTCCCTCCTATCTTTTTTAGTATTTTCTTTTCTTTTGTTGTTAAAAAATTAGAAAAGATAAAATTAGTAATTAATGATAAATTTTAATCATTTTAATATTATTTAAATGTATTTATTTATTGTAAGCCCTAAAGTTGATTGGGTCAATCAACTAAACAATTAAAGATTAAACAATAGTATGTAGTTCTCTTTTATTAGTTCATTCTCTCTCTTTAATTTTTAAATATAAAAAATTTGGATTTTTTAATGTTGGTGGGTTATGTTCATACTAACAAATAAAGGCGAATTCTGGGAAATTTTCGGATATCCAGATCCAATATCCGAACTAAAGTTTCCGAATGTCCAGTCTTTTTCGGATTCAGATATCCAAATCCGCCAAACATAAAGTTATTTTGATATTTGTATTTATATTTTTATTTTCAAAAAACTTTTGTTAAACAATTAAAGATTAAACAATCTTAAAAATAGAAATATTATTTATTCATTATTTTTGTAAATAAAAAACACAAAAAATATACTTACTACACACAAACATTTTTATTAATATATCCAAATATATCTATCTAGAGTAGTTAGTAATTTACCAGCTTAAAATGACTGATAATAACATCTGCAAGTATTTTCTCCGTATTTTGCCACCTTACAGGCGCAACATAGTTTTTATTCTTTGTGGAATGCAAATACTTTTTTTCACAATTATTTTAGCAATTCGTTAGTTGACTTTTGAAAATTAGAAAATAAAATAATAAATTTAATTAGATCAAGCATTTTGGCTTTTATCTACTCGAATATTCCCAGTTGCCTATCAAATGTTTGATGATACAAGAAATAGAGACTTTGAATTTTCTTGGAATAAAACTTCTAGGTAAGTTTTCTAAATGTAGAGTAGTACAGTTGGAGCGAATTAGTTTACAGCTATTATTGACAAATTAATTTATGTCGTTATTTAAATTTTGTTGGACATAAGGTGACGGGGGATGTTTAAGCAATATCCGGCAATACCTAGCTCATAGTGAATAATTCTCTTGAGTTTAGCTATTAAGGCCCGACTGTGTTTGATTTAAAACAAAATTCAAATTTAAAATTATTTTTAATATTTTTTTTAATTTCAGGCAACAATTGGATAGGGTAAAATACATTCTCTTAAATTAAATTATTAATTTTTTATATCAAAGTATCAAGCACAGTTAGCTGTAAGTTGGGTAATTGCTTGTGTAGGTATAAGTATTTCAATGCTTTGTATTATTCCTGAATTTTGCACTGTAGAAGTAGCTGCTGAGGAAGAAGTTGATTTGGTAGGATTTTATTTAAAATTAGTAAAATATCTTTGTAATTGCCTATAAAGAAAGTTATTATCTGAATCCTTCACGTGTTATATAATTCCGCCATGGAAAGGTTCCTCGATAAGGAGATCTGGGATTTGACTGTACTCCCTTAATTAATTGCTCATTTTTCGATATAATTTTTTTCAAAAAGCTTACTTAAAAATTAAATTTCTATTTTTTCAATTCTTTGCCCTACATTAAAATCATTTTCTGTGTGCAAAAAAAATTCTAATATTTTTAACTCTAAATTACAAATTAATTTTTTAAAGTGTGTAAGACAACCAAGTATAGCTAAAATGTTAACACCATTATTATTTTTATGTAATTTCCTTCTGGCTGCTTGTTTAATTACAGAATGGGTAGAATTCCCTTTATTTGACAATCTCTTTCACAATCTTTTTTATGGTGCAATTAAAGAAGAAGCTTATTTAACAAGTTTTGAAGAGGAATTGAATTGTGTTAGTGATGAAGATAAAGAAGGTGAGGGAAAATAAAAATAATTATTTTTAAATTGGGATACTATCAATCTCTACTATTTATTGAAATGTGCCTTTCATTTAAATTCTGTTAGTAAAAAAATATAATATTTCCTAAGAAATTAGGAAATATTTAGGAGTATAAGCTTGGAATAATCCCAAATTAATTGTCGTTTTTAATTAAGTATTAATTATCTTTTAATTTTTCAGGACTGGATGTGTGGGTAAGAATCCTTTTTTTCAAAAATAAAATCTTCAGTTCCTTTCTAGAAATGTGACAGAATAATAGAAAGAGCTATATTAAACCATAAATGGCTTAATCCACAATTAATTGCCCAACTAATTTTGACTGTTTTATCAATATTTGTTTGTATGTTATTTAATGATCAAGGTATTTAGTAAAACAATTTCTTTAAAATATTTTCATTTTTAAAGAAAAAATCAACAGAGGACAACTAAATTGTCCAGAAGAAATTGATTGACTAGGCTAAATAAAAATATTTTTTTTCGTAGTTGAATTACTAAAACGGGATCTCATCCCCATTTCAACGAATGTAAATACATAAAATCATCCCCCTAAATACTTTGCCAATAAATTTTTATTTTTTAAAAGTACACATGTGATAATTTAGAAATAATAGTTTTGACAGAATAAATAGGTCGATTGTAACTCTCGAAATTTAAGAGGATTTTTTAAATTTAAAACAATTTTACTAAACTATAAATGTTAAATTCAGACTCATAAAAACAAAAAAACATTTTTTAGTCTAAATCCTCTTATGAATGGTTATTTTCGATATTCAAAAATCAATATTAAATATGAAAAAAATAAATGAAAAAATTTGTTTTTAGACCCTGATTTGTAAATTTTAGGAAATTTCTGATGCCGAGAGAAAAAATCACTAAAATCCCTCCCAGATCTCTCTATTTTATTTATTACTTACATAATTTCAAATTTATCTTCAAAATACAAATCCAAAAATCAAAGCTCTTCTTCCATATTTTCATCATCCTGCTCTGCCTCAATTCCCAATTTATTTCCCTCTTCCTCTTCATTTTCAGAATTAATTAAATTTTTTATATTTTCTAATTGATTATTTAAGGATTGTAAACGTTTCCCACTTAATTCTGCAACTTGTTTTGCATGAAAATTAGATCCTTGATGTTCAGCTCCAACACAGACTTGCTCCCTTAAATGATTAAAAAAAGATCTTGTTTAGCAAGTAAAAATAGGATTTTACTGCTCACTTAAATAATTAGTAAGGGTGTCAAAACAATTTTGTTTTTCACCTCTTTTGAATTTTTTACAAAAAAAACCCACATATAAGTCAATTGCTCTCCAACCCCTTTTTGTACTTCATCCAATTTCGTTTCGTACCGTTTGTACAAATCTTCCATTTTTGACTTTGAAATCTGAAAAATTTTAAATAATTTTTTCATTGCTTTACCGGTTTGTCCTTTTCCAAACTGTTCAAAACTTCCGCAACAATAGCCATTAATTCAGCAACTTTCCAATCAACATCTTTTAAACATTCCAATCTTTGTTCAAGTTGAATAGTCTCTGTGTCAGCAGAAATTTCTTCCATCATTTGCTCGACGGGAGGTGCTGTTTCTGGTAATGCAGAGGTTGAAGCCATTTTTTAAAGAATTTCCTGATTTGTAATATTTAAATTTTTTAAATCTTACAAATAAAAAAGGCGAAATAAAAACTATAAAATATAATAAAACTTTAAAATTTCACGGAAAGTAAACTAAAAAATCTAAATAAATTTATTAAATCAAACAAAAAAACAAAATAATTATTTAATTAGCCTTTTCTTCTTGTATTTTATCAACATTCTGCTTTTCTTTCCTTCTTCTAGCAACTACTTGTTCTGGAAGATCTTCTACACGATCGAAATGTCGTCTAAGTCCGCGCAAAAGTCTAAATATTTTAATTTTAAACTTGAGAGTATGCAAAGATTTCTTACTCAGGATTTTCAGATCTGTCTGGATCCTCAAGCAAATATTCGTCCTGAAGTCGAATCTGTTCTTTCAGGTGTTCCTTTTCTTTCCATAATTTCTAAAAATATATTTTGTTGAATAATACACCAAAATTTTCGAATAATAAATTTGTGCAAGAAAGTACTACTTATTGTAATAGAATATACATTAAATTTACAAGTTAAATTTTCAATTTGAATTTCGAAATAAACAAAACACTGAATAAATCTCCCTCTCACCTAAATTTGTGTAGGAATAAAATTTTTAGTGAATCTGAAAAATATTGCTAGAAATTCAACAACATTTCAAATTAATGTTTGATTCTATAATATTTTTTAATTATTAGAATTAACCTGAAACAAATAGGCCTTATCGTCTAGCATAGGAACCTCATATTCCTTCTTGACTCCAATCACATCTGGTTGTCCATAATGTTCATTTGCCGATACTTCATAGGTAAAACCAGCAAAGGATGTAATCTTTCTTTTGGGTGGAGAGGCACTTTTGCCAGTTTCTAATTTTAAATATGCATCGTTACGTTCATGCACAACAACTTCAATATTGTCCATACTCTATAAAAATAAATATTAATTTTTAAGATTTAAATAATCAATAACCTCTTTAACTCGATCAACCCTTTCAGGATTAGGTAATTCCATATGTCTAATCTTGTATGCTTCTCGCATTGTAAGAAGCATATTCCTCTCTTTCAAAAGGACATACCAAAGTTTGTGCAAATCAGAATTGCTTTTAAGACGAAGTTCATCGGCAGTCCTATAAAAATATTTTATAGTAGTTGATAGTGTGTAAATTAAAGGAAATGATTGAATTTTTTATTGATATAACAATTGATAGATCTCTTATTTCTGGAATGTTTCCATGAATTCTTTTATTTTCTGTTCAGAAATTCCTGATAAAGGTCGCCCCATTTATTTTCATCAATATTTTTAAATTCCAAACCAAGATCGTCCTGGCCTTCTAGACAGTGACAATTCCTTCATACCCCAATTATCAGGTTTGTCAAAGAACTCCCAAAGTTGATATACTTTCTCATCTTTCTTGTCTTTTGCAACTTCTTTCGATTTGTTACGAATAATCATAATTGGTGAAGAGAATCTAAAATAGAAAAATTATTTTTAAAAATTTATCAGAGTATAACCTCCTTAAAAGTCTTGATGCCATTTTTTAAGAAATATCTATGAAACATAAAAAATCAGAATTTTAAAAATAATCGAATAATTAAAAGCAAAAAAAAACTTGTTAAAATAAGCAAATTGAATATAAAATCTTTTATTTGCAAAAAGGCTATTAAAGAGTAAAAATTAAATTATTCTTATCAAAAGAAATTTCTGAATATTCTTGCAAAATATTTTACCCAATTTGAAACAAGGATATCCCTTTTAAAAAAAGCATCAATTTCAATTGATTGAGCATGTTCTAGAAGATATTGCCTTTCCTGAAATATTTAAAAATAGTAAAGAATTCAAGCTTAAAACCTCGATAATTTTTTGCTTTAGCGCGTCATTTTCAGTAACAAGCAATACTTGCGCCTCCAAATCTCTTTGAGAAGAACGAAATCCTTTAAAATAAATATAGTAAGGGTTTAGCAAAAGTTTAGCCAGCGAGCAGGATTCGATCTGCGACAACACTGAGTCCTGGCCTTGCTAACACAACGCCTACGTAAGCTACCGGAACGATGATTGCTTTCTCTTTTATCCTTGTTTGTTTAACCCATTCCTAAGCGTTTTAAATAGATCATCCTCACAATATTTAAAAAAATCTGAACTCGTAACAGATTCGACAGGTTATTAATCGGTACCCACGGCTTTCAGTTACTCCGATTTATACATAAAATGGGTTTTGGTTTAGACTTTAGTGAAATACTGGTTTTACGTTAGGGAGAATTTGTAAAAAATTACTCGTACCATAATTTGATGATCCAATCACCGTTCCAATTCTTTTTTCATTTAAAAAGTCAATCCAAAGACCTTTTGCATGAAAAGTCCAGCCATCCCTGTCCCATTCCATAAAAGTAAAGGGCGACTTTTCAAATCCTTGTCCTTTTGATTTTCGAATAAAGTCGAGTGAATTTTGCAGATAAAGTAATGGAACAGAACCAGATATACCAGTTCCACCATAAAAGCCATTTGTCTATAAAAATAAAATTTTATGAAAAGCTTAAAAAATTACTCGAGGTGAGCCAAAAACAATGTTTACTAAGAAGGAACGCTTTTGTAACATCCAATCGGCATATTCATCGCATAAATTAAAGTAAGCAGTAATTAAATTTATTTCTTTTATGTTTTCCTTTTAAAATTTAGAAAATAAATAAAATCCAAAAATAAATATAAACCTCTTTATTAAACAAATTTTTCAAAAATTGAACTTCTTGTTTAATATCAAAAACACCCATTTGTAAAAAAGGATAAATAAATGTATCATTTGCTAAATTATTCACATTGTCTTTGCACTTGTCAAATAATTCAAAAATTTCGGTTTTAATGCTTTTTTGAATTTCTTCATTTGATCCTAAAAAATCAAAAAGAAGATAGTAAAATTTAAATTAATTTATTATCGTACAAAAAGTCCCCCTGTAATCCCTTGAAATGTACACTCATGATTTAAAAATAACCTGTAAAAGGGTGAATGGAAGCTGATCCAGAGAAATTCAGTTTGCCAAATTTGTCAAGTTGCATGGAATGTTTTGCCATTATAGTAGAAATTGAGTGGAAAAAATCAGCCAGTCTAGGGCAATTTTCAACGACCAAGTAACGGTCTTGACGATTATCAAAATATTGATCAGAAAGATTTGCTCTAAAAATCTTTAATGATTTATATTTTAAAAATATATAGAATTGAGAAAATACCCTGATATAATTATTGAATCATCAAAAATGAAGAACTTCATGTGTTGAACTCCGATAATTTCATTTAACCTTCCAGGCAGCAAAAATTTCAGTAAACCACGCATTTCTGGTGTATGGAATAGAGATACCTAAAAGTTAGATTTTAAAAATTCATAAATAAATGCAAATCTTACTTAACCGGGTTAATAAAAAATCTAAAGGAAAATTTAGCATTTTCCGTTTAACATGAACAAAAACAAGCGAGAATTTCAAAAAAAGTCTAGAAGACATTACACAAATAACCCTACCCTATCTGAATATAAGGGCGGAATCATTTTTACATTAATTTTTATTACTCTCTTAACATGTGCATAATGGCAATCGGTAATAATTCCATACACGCATAGAATGAAATTATCAACCTACCTGAACATTTCTATTCTCCAGCAAAGGTTTTAGAATAGAAGTAGAACTGTCGTTAGGTTCGCCTCTAGTACCTCGAAAGTAATCCAAAAGGAATGAGATTTCCAATTCTACATTTTCAGAACATGCCGTTTGTAGTCTTGAAACAATTTGCTGCTCCTTCTGTCCTGCGCCAAGATAAAGTGCTGCAAAAACAATGCGAGATTTAGAGGCAGATATTCGCTTCTAAAAATGATTTAAATATTATAAACAATTTTAGAGATCTAACAAAATAACCAAGATTTCCTGGTAGAACTCATCTGGCAACTTGAGGAAATGGATAGATGATGATTCAACTGGAATACAATATTCCAAGTCAGGAAACATTGCTTGAAAAAACACGTGAAGCAAAGTGTAATCAATCAAAAATGAAAAAAATAAACGGGAAATTTTACCAAAAAACAATTATTCTTTTAAGAGTTTATGAAAAGATACAGGATATAATTATATTCGTGTAAGTATAAGTACAATAAAATGTTACATGTAAATAAGTCATACTTCTTATCATTTAAAAAATTATATTAAATTCGCTTCTTAAGCTCTTCAAATCTACGAGCAAGTGCATCAAAATCCAAATCATCGTTAGGATTACCAGTGCCACCACCACCATTTTTCGTCGTATGAGGAGGCATTTGTTTTGTTTCGCCATTACCATGAAAAGGTGAAGGAATGCCTTTTGGCGGCTCCGGAAATTTTGGAAGAAGAAAGTCTAAAAAGAGTAATAAAAAATTTGACACACAAATTAATGGAGAAAAGGGAAAGAAAAAAATTTAAAGTAGAAAAATTAATTAAATTTACCTTCATCAGCATCTTGTGGACCAACAGGAGGTACTGTTTCATAAACGTGTTCATAGTGTGGATGATCAAATTGCTGAAATACAAGATATTAAAACAATATTAGAATGCAAATAACTTGTTGATGTTGTGGATAAATTGGTGCATTGGCATTTACAATTGGATGTACATTTGGAATTGGACTATGCCCATATCCAGGAGGGATTTGCTGCGGTGCCATAGGAGGTGGAGCGTATTCCGGAGGCGGAATACCTAATGGAGGATAAGAATTTGGAGTAGTTTTATTCTCTCCATTCTTATTGTTAGAAAGGATACCGCCTCCACCTGTCGTGGTTCCTCCAATAAAATGTGAAGAAATTGTGCTAGCATTATCAGCATGGAGATTACCTCCACCACTCCCACCAGAAAATCCTCCATCGCTTCCGGGTCCACTGCCATTGTTTACATTGCGATCGTCGCCTGGTTTGACATTCCAACCATATTGCTCCTTAACATGTCTATTATTTAATAAAATTTTAAAAAACCTCATTCATAAAGTTGATGAGATTGCGTTCAGCTCGAGCAACTTCGTCGTCATCATCTCGCATAACCTTAGGGTCAGGTGTAAAATCAATACCGGCAGATTGAGCAATTGTGATTAAATACCTAAAAATAAATAATCTTCAAAGTATAGAATTAAAAACAAACTTTTCGACAAGTAATTTTGATGGAGCATTGACCGACAATTTTTGAACCAACTTTGGTGAAACTCTGCTTGGCTCTGGCAATTGATTCATTCTGGCAGCCTCTGCAAATTGCTTGCCATATTTGTGCGTTAATTCATCACTAATTGCCTATAAAAACAAAATTAATTAATTGAAAATTAAAGGAATAACCTTGAACTCAGAAATTTCATGTCCAAATCGAGGAGCTACCCACAAAAGACTGCTTACTGCTTCGGCAATGCCATCATCAAGGTCTCTAAAAATAAATAAATACACAATTAATTTTAAAAGATTCGGACTTCATTTGTTGGATAATCCCAAATCTGGCTAAAAGCAACTCACAATACCTTAAAAAATATTTAGAAATTCACAAAAATAACTAAATAAACCCACATTTCTAACAATTCATAAGCTTCAACAACAAAGTCTTCCCTTATAATGGTCTCAACACGTATACGTGCACGGTCTTCTTTATCAGCTAAAATTTGAAAAATATTTTTTTAATTTCGGTTAATTATACAATTTAAATATTCGGCTATTTCTGTCCTTGCTTTAATTGCTTGTTCAGTTTTCTTCTTTTGAAGCAATCTCAATCTATTTGCAGCTAGACGAAGATTTGTTTTCAATTTAGCATATTGAGTGCCCCATGAAACTGACATTTTTTTAAGAATAACCCTTTAAATTAGTTAGTTAATAAAATAAACACTAAATAAAAAAGAAAAATTATGAGTCATAAATCTAGAAAATTTTCAAAATAAAAAGCAAGAAAAAAAATAAAAAAAAAGAAAACAAAAAAGCGGTGGGGTACTATTGAGTACCGCCGATTGAGTACCGCCGGTTGAGTACCGCCGGTTGAGTACCGCCGTTTGAGTACCGCCGGTTGAGTACCGCCGTTTGAGTCCCTAGCCAGTTGAGTCCCGGCCGGTTGAGTCCCGCTGGTTAAATTTTTTTGTCTTTGGAACAACATTCCCTGACTCTGGAACAACTTTCCCTGACTTTGGAACAACTTTTCTCGACTTTAGAACAATTTTCCCCGTTCTTGGAACAACATCCCCTGGTGTCGGAACAACATTCCCAGTTGACGAAACAACTTTCTTAATAGTTGTAACAACTTTCTCAATAGTTGGAACAACCAGCATCAACATTGGAACAACTTCCCCGCTGTTGGAACAACTTTGCACAATGTTGGTCCAACCTTTCCCATAGTTGGAACAACTTTCCCCTCGTTGGAAAGTTATTCATATATAACCAGCGGGACTCAACCGGCCGGGACTCAACTGGGCAGGGACTCAAACGGCGGTACTCAACCGGCGGTACTCAATCGGCGGTACTCAATAGTCTCGTTCCCACAAAAAAGACAAAATTATTTTCAAAGTGTTAATTTAATAATTTACGTACTATTTCTCGTTGTCTAACTCTATAACATTTCAATCTGTTAAATTACATAATACCAGACAACTAAATTATTTAAAAATGTCAATACACCATCTGTCAAATTTTTTATTATTTAATTTTTATTGTTTTAGACTTTTTTATTTAGGTATTGCTTCTATTTAATTTTATTATTTCTATGGCTCCTTCAAATTCAAAAAGATCTAAAAGTAGCAGCAAATCAAAACATAATGCTTTATCTTCTGCTTCATTGAGGGTAAAAACATTCAATATTTTTATTTGTATTTTCCCAAACTTTTTAGAATTTTTTTAAACTTGAAGATGAACTAAGTAAGCATTTGGATACTGATAAAATTTGTGATGATGTGAGGAAAATACTTGCAGAAATACGCTCTAATTTGAGTTCAAATCAAGATAAACATCCAACACATAGCAAATCAAGTCATGAAAGAAGGTTTAAATATTTTTTAAATTTATTTTATATTTCTTTAATTTTTAGCTCTGCTTTGATTTTGGCTGTTAAATTACGTAATATGAATCGTCTTTTTGCTTTTCGAAATAAACAAGCAAATACAAAGTTGGCTGAAGTTCGTCAAAAGGTCGAAGATCATTATTTGTCTCTTCAAAATGTTTCTAGTGAAATTGCTCATATGAAAAAGAATATTGAAACTTGTTTGGATTTTAGGTTTGGAGTTTTTTAATTAAGTAAATATTTTTAATTAGACTGAGTAATGAAATTATAATTTTATCCTCCCCAACGTTTTCCACCAGAAATAATATTTTTAATTTTAAAGAGCGGATATTTATGACATTGAATTGGTTAATGCTGAGGAATCATCTTCAAACTCTAAAGAAATGATAGACAACCACGATAAAGAAGAAAAATTAGACGATCATCAATTATTTTTGCAACGATTAAATAATGAGCTAAATGAACGGAAAAGGTTTTTTCTAAATTCTATTCAGGGGTTAACATATTCTTTTTGTACATTATTACTAACCAAATCTGGCAATTTTTTTAATTTAAATTTTTATAAGTTTGCTTTAGGTTTTTATCTCCTATTTGACATAATATTTACCGATCCAGGCTCGTAACCAGGCGAAATCCCCCCCTCCCCAAAATCTTGGTTACGGATCCGTATTGACCTAATATTTACTTCATTTTTTAACAGTTTGCTATCAAATTTAAATGAGCTAGAAGGGCGAAAAAGCGCTTTATTGAGTGATATTAAAGGGAAAGAACAACGTTTGTCTCAAATAGGCCCAAAAATCGTTTCTATTAAAAAGGTTGTTTTTAATAACTAATTTATTTTTATCTAGTTATTCTTATTTAGATGGCTGAACCTTTACTTGATCTTCTTGGAGTTAGTCGTGGGAAGAAGACAACTCAGAAAAAGACAAAATAGCGTTCAAGTATTTATTTTTTTATTTGTTTTTAAATTAAATTTTTAATTATTTTTTCTTCTCTATATTTTCTGTTATTTTTCATTATATATTTTTAAATTTCACTTAATTGTTTTTTATACATTTTTTGATGAGGCATATTCTTCGTAATAGAACAATTTTCCCTTTCCACTTTATTTATCAGTCATTTTCAAATGCCAAAACAACTTGTGAACCTCTATTTGCTCGACGAGAAAATTTTCGAAAATTTATTCCACAACCAACTTTACAAAATGAATTAAATCCTTTATTAACTCCACCTTCCACGGGTGTTAGAAAATTTGCAACAATGGTGATTTTAGTTGATTTTCCGAATGGCGGGAAAGAAAAAGCTGGTACTTATGTTCTATTGACACACAGAGCGGCAAAGATGAAGAAACATGCCAATGAAATTTCTGTTCCTGGTGGTGAGAATTTTAAAGATATTTTGGGGGGTTTTTGGTATGGGACTAGGCTTGGGTTAGTTCTCTTGGAAAAATTTCCTTGGCCTGACTTTATGCCATAAAACTAATTCAATTTATCTTTGAAAGGTGCGGTAGAACCAGGCGAGTCTCTCGAGGAAGCGGCACTGCGTGAAGTGGAAGAGGAAATTGGATTGCGAGGGGAATATTTGGTTTTCTTTAAAATTAAATAATCTGCCTAAATTATTTTAATTTTTAAAGAAAGTTTGGGGCGAATTACCGCCAATTCTTTTTCGTAATTCGAGTGGAGTGACGACTCCTTTTGTTTCTTCCCTGACTGACTGCCCTTCCTCAACTTCCTTGTGTTCTAAACTTATTCTTCAAGAAGATGAGGTTCAGGGTGTCTTTTTGGTTTCTCTTTCCGAACTTTTGGATCAAAGACGTTTTACCTCATTTAGGTAATTTTGAATAACTTTTAAATTTAATAATTTTTGTTAGAATGAAAGCTCCACTCCGTGGTGGTCTTCCATTCTTTTATAAATTGCCTGTTTTTGTTGTTGAAAATGTGATACCTCTTGTTCCCTCTAGCACTGAAGAACGCGCCCCAAAAAGACGAGTAATTTGGGGAATTACAGCAATTACTTTAAATGAGGCTTTAAATTGTATTTTCCCTCAATAATTTTATTAGAATAATATCAATAATATGTAAAATATTTTTAAATGTTATAGATATTATATTAACAATTTTTTGTAAAATTATTTTAATTTTTATAAAACATTACGGGAATATTGGTTCTTTTGTTAGCATGATAGTTCGGGTTTGATAAGACAAGAATTGCTATATTTTTTAAGGCGTAGTGACAGAAGACCCAAAATCAAAAAATTTTTGCTAAAAGTTTAGAAGAACAAGATTGACAAAGTTAAGGCACAAAACGTAAACCTATGGGCTTAGGCGAGGCGCTTGTAGAAAAATGCTTTTGGGTCTTTTGTCCGTGGGTTTTCTACGTCGACACGATTTTTTAATTTAGTTATGGCATTGTCGTTGACTGGCCTAATCCCTTTACAGTTGATCTGGTTATTTAAGCTAAATTTAGTTTGGAGTATTAAAATGTTAAAATCTAAACTCTTTGGGTAAATGTGTTTATAAATTGAGATAATTTTGGACACATTTTGAAAGACAAAAATAAATATTGTCAGATTTTTAAAAAAATATTTTTTATTTTTTTTCTCATTTATTCTTTATGAAAACGAGTAAATCTTCGTGCCATTTCATGCACATCCATTTCTGCTTTAAAATCATTAAGTTCTCGTTTAATTTGTTCTTTTTGTTCCGGCGTTATTCTTTTCCAAGGTTTATCCCCTTTTCTGTCATATTTTTCTATTTCGCTGATTTCAACATATTCACTAAATTTAATCATTCTTGAACGTATTTCTTCTAGTGCTGCTTGACTTAACTGAAAAAATAATTTACTATAAAGTTATGAGTGAATTTTTTTTAATTTTGTTCAATTTTAAAGTGAAATTAAGGAAAAGATAGAAAATTAAGAATTTTTTATTTTAAATTCTGAATAGCCCAGGTATTAGAGGATCTTAATATTATCTTCAGTTCCAACTGAAGAAAAGTCTAGGCTTTTTGATATTTTTTTCTGACAGATTTCATATTTTTGGTAGGAACCAGGGATGGGACGGGTTGAGAAAAAAGTCGGGTCGAGTTTTCAAAATTTTCTTCGGATCGGGTTTCGGGTCGAAAAAAGTCCGGGTTTCGGGTATCCCATCCCTACTAGGAACTATATTTTCAAGAGTATCCTTCCTTTTACATTAAATTTAGGATAAAATCCTCAAAGAAATAATTATTTTTCTTTTACCTTTCTAAGCAAAACTTTTCTTTTATTTCCACCCGCACTACGTGTTTTTATTATTCCATTATTTCCATTATCTTTTTGTATTATTTCTTTTGACTTTTGTACAGATTCTACTTCCTTATTTTGTTTATTTAAATCATCAATTTCTTCACAAGTCGAGACCCTCTTCAAAATACTTCTTCTGCCCCCTCTTTTTAATATTCCTTTTTCATATGAATTTTCATCGTCGTTAATAATATTTTTGGATTTCTCATAATTTTGAAGGTTATTTGAATTTGGGGAAGTTAGTTTTCTTAAAAGAAAATTAAATTTAAAAAAATAATTTTTAATTAAAAGTTGGGGTACCCTTGGTTTTCGGTTATGGCCAGTTTACGACCCCCGGTTTTCGGTTCGGTTGACCGACCCGCCAACAACCCTAATTAAAAGGTTAGTTTATAGAATAACTGTTTTGAATAAAAAAATTATTTTTTATTCTTACTTAAAATTTCCAATAGTCCAACTTCGCCGAGAAGGTGAAAACAATGTGTCCATTTATTTAGTTATGAAAAATATAAATTTGTTGAATAATTTGGTTAATAAATGAAGAATAAATAAAATCTTTAATATCTTAAAAATTATAAATATTTATTTATAAAAAATGAAAGGATTGAGGATTTAATTTAAAAAAATAAAAAAATCCAAATGAAGGATGAATATGAAGGAAAAAGAGTGAAGAATTTACTATAAATATGTTTGTGGTAATGGCAATTAATTTTTGTTTTACTAAAAGAGAATTTCTATTTTGAGTGTTCCCAATTAAAAAATAAAAAAAGAAAATTAATTTAAATTAATTTTTATAACATTATTTGAATTAAGAAGGAAGAAACTTTTTTTCAAAAATAACAATTGACAAGTTTTAATGTTTTAATTTGTTCCCAAACTTACTTTTTTTCTAAATATTTTTAATGGTCTATTAATTTCTAATCTTTTTTAATTTTTTAGAAATTAATTTTAAATAACATTTTTTAGTCAGCCCTCTATTTTATAAACTTTCAAATTTTAAAACTAGGGTAGCTCCCCGAGGGGTAGGAGGTGTCGGGGATTGGGGTTTGCCGGGGGAGGGCATGTCGGGTTTCGGGGTTGACTTTCGGTTAGGCGGGCGGGGAGCTACTCTATTTAATTTTTTAATCGTAAAAGTTTTTGGAATAAATTTTGTAAAGTTTAGTTGATTTAACTTACTTAAAACAAAAATCTGAAATATCTAATATTTGTAAGATTTAAGGAAATTTTTTTGTTAAAATTACAATAAAAATTAAAAAGTTATATACATAAATTCGCTCGTCATTCATTTGACATTTTAATAATCTTTTTGTTTTAAAAATTTTTAAATGAAGAAGTCCATTATCTATCCCGTAATTTAAAAGAGTAAATGCCTATACATTAGCAAGCTTTTAATATTTTATTTTTTTTTGCGCGGGGGAGGGAAGCAATAAATTGGAGCGTATAGAATTAATAATACGATGAAAATGATGTTTATAATTTTATATACATAATTAAAAAAATTTTTTTATTATAATTATCTGTATTGAATGTATAAATTAACAGGCCATTAAAATGTTTTTAAAGAGGTTTGAAAATAAAATAATTAAAGCCTTATTTTGTACAGAAGGAAAATAAAACTGGAGAGAATGAAAATAAATTTTAGGGAGAATTTTGAAGTGTTCATAAATTTCAATTTTGCTCGTACTCGTATTTCGTACCAAAGTACGAGTACGAATTTTGGTATGAGCTTAAGAACACTGATTGTGAATCTGTAAGAATCTGTCACAAGCTAACTTTCTGTTAAATGCCTTTGAAATTACATACATCTTAGTTTAAGGAAGATATATAATTTAAGGTTGACCGGTGGGTTAAGTACCTGAGCAATTTCTTTAATTCAAAATTTTTAAATAAGATTTTTCGAATCTAAGGTCTGCATGTAATGAAAAAAAAGGATATGTGTCTAAAATAGGTAGCAAGAAGAGAAATTTTTTAAAATGAGAAAATATTAGTCAATGTTTAAAATAAAATAAACGAGAAATGAATTTATTATTGTATTTACAGATATATTTATATAATAATTTTGTTTTAACAACAAAAATGATTTTTGAAATTAATGACGTTAAATAATAGTATTTATTTAAATAAAAGTAGAAGGGGAGGGGAATATTCCTCCTCTTTTTATTAAAGCAAGAAATAATCTTTTAAAAATAAAATAATCTTTCTCCTTTTTTAAGCAAAAAGGAATGTTTTAATGGATATATCCAAGCACCACTTTAAATGTCCAAAACATAAATGAATGCGCATATAAATATTATTTTTAGATAAAAATTGCTGACGTTAAAAAGAAAGGAATTTTATTACAAAATTTTTTTAATAAATAAAACATTCCTAGAGTTTAATTTAAACACTATTTGTGACGAAAAAAGGAAGTCAAAGATGAGATAAACGTGATTGAAAACTAAAAATGGAAAGAAAATATAAAGAAAGCTTTTTTAAAGGATTCATAAAAATATTTAGAAAAAAATTGTTAAATTAAAAGAAACCAAAAAAATATAAAAAATCCCAAAAATTCCTCTTCTTCTCTTTCAATGATCAAATAAAGAATTTTTAAAGGAAAATAGGATTCCCTTTAAAATCTCTTTAAATATTCTCTTTTTTTCAAATAACTTAACGGATTCTTTAAGGTATTTGCAAATAAAAGAATCCGTAAATTAAAATTTATAATATATTGTCTAAATAATGACGAATAAAAACATCATCAAAATAACAAAAATTATTTTAATGTCGTAAATAATAATGGATTTTATTTAAATCAAAGTTTCAATTTTTTATTTTAGTTCAAATCATTTTATCGATTCTCAAGCCCAGATATAAAAGAAAACTTTGATTTAAACGAGATTTGAATAAGGGAAATTAATTTTCAAAAAATTCAGGGGGGGGGGGCTTGCTAATGTAAAACATCCAAAGAAAAAATTAGTTTCTCCCAAAATCCACCTTTTCAGTTAAAAATCTAATTTTCAAAATTTTTAATCCAAAACTAAAAGAATATTTAAAAATTTATAAAATTAAAATTATTTACATAATGGCAAAGAAATGTCTTCTTAAATTTATGTAAGTTTAATCAACCTCTCAATCCAGCAAGCATTTTCTGTAATTCTTTATCAGAAATGTCATTTCCACTTGATGAAGCCAAACCGTCACGAACCGTCGGAATATTTGATAACTGAAAAATAATAACTCCAAGAGAGATTAAAACATTAAAAAAACCTTTTGTTTTGTCTCAATTCCAATTTCATCAAGTACTTGGTCAATAACTCTTTGTTCAGCATCTTCATCATCCATTTCTAACATAGAATCCAAAGTTTCGTCAATTAATTCCCCTTTCATATCCATCAAAGCTTGCTGCTTTCCAAATTCTTGCATTTGCCCAGCTAATTTATGCACAGGCATTCGGGCATTTACTTGCTGCATTGTAGAAGCTGTTGTCCCGATTGCTTTAGCCATTGTATTTAAACTTTGAGCTTGTCTAGAAAATAAAAAATTGAATATATTTAAAATTAAATAATAAACACAAGGAATGTCCGGTAATAAGTTGATTCGACTTAAGTTTGTTAACTTAAAATATGGCTAGCGGAGGAGCGTACCCGAAGGGCGAGCACCTTCGCTAGTAAACATAAATACATAAGCAGACAATGCTAATCACAAATACTGGACGTGTAATAGCAAAATAAGACGCCTCTCACCCCTTTTTTCTGTTTTCTGGTCAAAATGGTAAGGGAACCAGGAAAAAAGGATGAAGAGGGGCGTCAGTCGAAGTATTACCTAAATAATAATTTATGATATTTTACTCCAAGTTATATGAAAGATTTACAAAAAATATTACAAGTAATAAAATGAGAAAAACCTTAATTAAAAAATGAGCTATTCCCAAAAACCGTCATTAATTCTTTAAAAAATATTTAAAAACCTGTTCTTTGAAGATATAGAAGTAATTGTAGCATTCGTCCCAACATTTTTAGTTTTTAAATTGCGTATTTGTACGAGTTGTTTAGCCAACACTTTGCAAACATCTTTTTGTCCAGACTTTGCCAATTGTTTAATTTGTTGTTCCTAAAAAATTAATTTTAAAAAAATTTTAAATTAAAAATCCAAACCAATTCTTTTTCTTTTCTTTCCAATTGCCGATAATCTAAATTTAATTCTCTTGTAGCTGTTCTCAATTCGCGTTTCTCTTTTCGTTGGATCTCTTAAAAATAAGCAGTTAATTTAGAAATAAAAATATCTATAAACCTTTCTCATTCGGCTTCCCAAAAACCCAGTCCATTAAAATAAATAAAAGAAAAAGTTAAGTAATTTCTGTCGAAAAATAAGATAAAGTTTTACGTATATTTACGAACTTGAATTTTACAAAAACAAGAAAAACAAAATTTAAAAAAAAACAAAAAAAGTTTTAGTTTAAAATTTCAGACTCTAGAAATTCATCTAAAAGAGAAAATAACGCGGAACGGAATTATTGAGTCCCGCTGGTTGAGTTCAACAAACAATTCCCCTTTTGTATGAAGATCTGATCGAAGCAATTCTGCTAGTTAAAATAATCCTTACATGAAGAGCTTTCGATTGATATACTAATCATCTAAATCAATTAAGAATTGTAAAAGCACACCAAACTAAAATTTACCAAATCAAACCTAGTAAAGCAGCTAGGCTATAGCTATTTCTCTCCTTTAGCTAGTGCAAAAGGTTAATCGGCGGCTGGGAGCGAACTAGAATCTTCAGTAGACCGGACTGATGTGTCCTACTGCCTAGCCTTGGGAAATAAATAGCTATATGCTTTACACTTGCTTCGGAGTTTGGTTTCAAGGTCTCGGGTTTTTTTAACAATAAGTTGAAAAATCGGGATTGGGAAAGTGGAATTCCCTGACAGAATAAACAAAAATTTCAGGGTCAAAGAATCACCGATATTAGAGACATTTCGCGGGCGCGGCTTTCATATCCCAATCCGCCCGGATCCGCGAGTCTCCGGATATTAACCCGCAAAGTGCAACCTCTTTCTTAATCTTCACATTAAATAAATTAATAATTATTTCTTAATTAATTTTATTACCATTTTTTATTTTTCTTTAAAGTGCTAAATAATTGATAATTACATAATATTTGCCCTTTATGTTTTTTTATGTTTCCGCTTCGAGTATTCACGTGAAAACATTTTCCATAGGTTGTCTTCACATGATAAATATTTTTATTTAAATTAAACAATTTCCCCCTCCTCTCCTCATTCTAAAATTTTTTTTACATTTTTTTGTCTTTATACATTCTTTATAAAAATTATTCTCCTTCGATTTGCCATGATTGTGTATAATTATTTTCTGTTATGTATTAATTTGTATTAATTTAAATTAATATGTATTAATTTAATTAGGAATTTGGCCGTTCGTTTTATGGTTCTGATCCTGAAATGAATGATTTATATGCCAACAAAAGAGCTTGAAGAGCTGAGTCGAACGACATAAAAATTAGCCCGCGGACTCAACTTTGAGCCGAGATATAGGGCTCGAAACGGTAAAATCCATGGGGTATTTTTGGGTGTAAGATTCGAATTTATAAATAATAGCTCATTCAAAAGTGCTCAACGAGCTGAGTTGAATGATACCAAAATCAGTTCGATTGGATGATTATGAACAAAGTTATGACCAACAGAATCTTCGCTGGATAAACTGTTTTTGTGCTGCTCGGAGGGTAGGCCGGGCATGGTCTTCGCTACACGATGGTCGTAACTGGTAAAACTGGAAAATTTGTATTCTAGAAATGCACCGGAAAAAGGCAGATGCAGATTTGGCTCTTATCTCTACGTTTACATTGTAAAAACTGAGAAAATAGAAAACATAACTATGTATCAATTCATTTTTTGTGCCGTAGGCTCAAACTTTATTAATTTTCAATGGTCAAATTTTAGAAAATTCCGAAAGTCAAAAATAGAAAAATCACTTATAAAGTTCAAAATAAAGATCGAAAGAAAAATCTCGAAAATCGAAAGTTCGAACCAAATCTTATGAATTTGCACTTTTAATAAAATGATTAACCAATTCTAATCTCCTTACCATTAGATTTATTTAAAATGATAAAAACTCAAAACATTCCCCTTCGGAATAAATAATTGGATATAAATAATAGATAATAGACACAGATAATAAATAATAGATAATGAACAATAGACGCTAAAACCGAAAGTTAAGGTTGATTATTTAAAAATATTCGCTTAACCGGAAACATGGATGGCCACGTAGCCAGATTTCTTCCCTTTTCAGCGCCGCAGGCGAAAAAAACTGCAGGTCAGCGACAGGTTAAAAATATAAAAGAAGGAGAGAAAAGGAGTCAACGGTTTATCTCTTAGAAAAGGAGAGAAAAAGTGCAAAGGCCAAGAAATTTGCACCAAATATTAAATACAAAATAAAAAAAGGGGGAGGGGCGGCCTTAGCCGCTTGTCATTATTGGAATTAGAAGCGGGCAACATATATTTAAAACTATTGAAGATTTGGCCATTTGCCGGGCAAAGATTAGAAAAAAGGAAATTCAAATCATAAGGACGTGAAATTCTCCGACAAAATAAACAAAAATTTCAGGGCCAAAGAATCACCGGGGTTTGGGTTGCAGCCCTAATATTGACTGATATTACAGACATTTTGCGGGCGCGGCTTTCATATCCCAATCCGCTCGGATCCGCGAGTCTCCGGATATTAACTCGCAAAGTGCAACCTCTTTCTTAATATTTTTTCATTAGACATTGAATAAATTATTTCTTAATTATTTCTTCATTAACCTTATTGACATTTTTTTATTTTTCTTTAAAGTGCAAAAAGATGTACAAACATAATTGTCCATAATTGTACATAATCGCACTTTGTTTTTATGTTTCCGCTTCGAGTATTCACGTGAAAACATTTTTCTTTATCATTCACTCCATAAGTTGTCTTCACATGATAAATATTTTTATTTAAATTAAACAATTTCCCTCTCCTTTCCTCATTTTAAAATTTTTTCTTCATTTTTTATTAACAGCTTGCCTTTATACATTCTCTATAAAAATTAACTAGTCAGTCTCCTTCGATATTTGCCTTGTGTGTATTAATATTTTCTGTTATTTAATTTTTGGATGGGCAATTTAAATAATTAATAATTATTTAAATTATTCTAATAAATTTTAAAAATATTTTTTCTTTTTGCTTCAAATAAAAATTTTTTTTCCATTTTTTCAATTTTATCTTAATAGTAATCTTTAATTTAAAACAATAAAACTTTTAAAAATATATTTAAAATTAAAAATAAATTTTAAACAAAATTTTTTCCAATTTTTTAATTTAGATGACTCGAAAAAAATTAATTTTAATTTTTTGTTTATTCTTTTTTCTGCTTCAAAATGTTCCTTGTCAAAAAAGTCAAGGATTCTCTGGAAGAGTTTCAAGAATTAGTTCAATTTCTGCTGAGTCTATGCGAAATTATGAATTTTCTGGATTTAAAACAGATAGAGTTGTGGCAGAAGAATATGTTCAAAAATTGGTTGGGAAAACCCAATATTTTATGCCTGAAATGATTGAAGCTGATATTTATTGTAATGATAAATTATCGGAAAAAGAAAAGGAAGGGGAGGCTATAGAAGAACCTGAAAATTCAAAAAAGGAGTTAAAAGGGTGTAAATCTATAACCTCAAAAGATAAAACTGTTGAAAAAATATTAGAATATATTTATTTACAAAAAAAGAAAATGTCAGAGAATATGAGAGAACAATTTGAGAATGTTTTGATACCGGCAAATATTAAATGCAAAATTGGGTTCCCTTTACCTAAAAATATTTTTGGAAAAGCATTCCTTCTCGATTCGGCTTTGTCTTTTTCAGAAGACGATTTAAAAGAATTGGTACTTGGTAAAGAGAAAATGGTTTACGAGAAACCAAAGGAGAATGATGAAGAGGAAAAGAAGGAGGATGAGGACAATAATGATGATGATGACGATGATGATGATGAGGGAGATGTCCAATTAAGTACATATGTATTGTTAGAAGCAATATATAAAGGAAGCAGAGGATTTGGTAAAAAAGTATTGTTGAATTGGGAAAAAATACCGGAAACAGAATATAAATATGAAATTAAAAAAAGGCAAAGATTAAAAGATATTGGAAAAAGAATATATAAAAAGGCAGCAGATTTGTTGAGAGAAATTATAAAAAGTGTGGAGAAAAAGGTGAACAAAGCTAAAAAATGGAAAAATATTAAAAGAGGGACAAAAACATTTTTTAGGAAATTTAACCCTTTCGGAAAGCCAAAAACATCTCCTGCAAGTTCTATACCGAGAGAAGAGGAACCTTTAGGGGAAAAAGCAAATTCGCCTCTTTTGTCAAATCGAGAGGAGGGTGTAGAAGAGGAACAACCGAAAGGAGTAGAAGAAGAATTTCGAATATCAACACCACCTTCAACAGGAATTACACCATCACCCGAAACAAAAAGTAAACTGTCAACTTTATATTCTTTTCAACAACGTACTGAATCTTCTTCAAATATAGAAAGACATAAACGAGTACTTTCTGAAGGTTCAAACATTCCGGTTATTCAGACACATGTAGAGTTGAAGGTTATTTTTAGTTTATTTTTAAATAAATGTTTATTAAAACGAGAAAATTTGAAAAATACATTGAGAAATTATATTTAATAAAAAAACTAGGATTCAGAAAATCTTAAAAATATTATAAGGGATAGAAGTGTGACAGAAGTACACTTTTAATTTAGCTCTGTTTAATTTTACTAATCTATGTATAAGAAAGATTCTAATTAATTTTTAGAGTCAAGCAACTTCGGAACGAGTTTCTTTTATTGAGCAAATTGTCGAAACAGACGAGGACATTGAAGCTATTAAAAAATTAGAAAGGTCTGGAAAAGATAAAGTAGATGATAAAATAAAAGATGAGATTAAAGTAAGAGTTAAATCAATTAAAAGGAAATGGCTAGATGAAATAAATAAATTAAAATCCTTTGAAGAGAAGGAAAATAAAATAAAAGAATGGAAGAAAATTATTGAAGATTGGGAGAAAAAAGCTAGGGAAATTTTTGATGAGAAAATTGAGGTAAAAAAGGATGAGGAAGGTCATAAAAGGTTGATTGAACAACAAGTTCACCCATTCAGATTCCTTCAGGTGTGAAAATTTAATTAAATTAAATAAAGTTAGGGCAATTTAAACGATCGAGATATTTAAGAGGAACGGATTAGCAATTTCCGGCTTATAGGCAGAATGAGCTCGGAAATGTTTTTGAGCGAAATCGTTCACCAGAAATGAGGTGTGGGGGATTAGACCGGGGGAAGGATTGAGAAAGTCTTTGTTCCTAGAGTGGATAATTCAAAAATAATGTAAACTATGAGTCAATTAAAATCAAAATAAAATTTAGGAAGTAAATTTTGGAGTAAGTATTAAACCGTCAAATAAACGTTTCAACGAGATTAACGGAGCGGAATATGAGGAAATAATTGAATTCCTCAAAAATCCAAAAAAATTTCTTGTTTGGCCTCCAAAGAAAAATCAGAAAAAGGAAAACGATTCAAGAGGAAGTTATGAAAAGAAATCTGAAGAAGAGATAATTGAACAGTCAGAACAACCAAGCCAAGAAAAGGAGGAAAAAGACGATCCATGGGGAAATCATATAAATAGATGGGAGAATAAATTAAGTGAAAAAATAATGAAATTTATGTTTTGGGAAATGAAAAAAATTGAAAAGAGATTGAAAAAAGAAGGTAAACTTGTAGAAGAAAAAGAAGAAGGGGAAGGACAACAAGAAGAAACTCAAATGGAAGTATCAGAAATTGAACTTGTCCCAATTAGCGGTAGGGACAAAAGCAAGAAAATTGAAGAAGAAAAATCGTCGTCTGAAAAAGGTCCAATAGAAACAGTCCCTAATGATGAATACACTCTGTTTCAAAAGTATAACCCATTTTTGATTTTTTAAATTTTTCGATGTACAGTTGATGTATTATTTTGAAATTTGGTATGTTGATTCAATTAACTAATCTAAGGATATTCCCAAAGTTTCATCAATTTTTATCCAATACAAAATTTGTAATTAATTTTTTTCTAAAATCTTCCCCAAAATAGGTGTTTCATAAGTATAACCCACTTTTATTTTTCATATTTGCAACAATAGGAAAAATCTTCAAAAAATTCATCAAACATGTATATTGATATTATAAAAACTAGAAAAAAAATCAGGTCCATATCTCAACTCAATGCCGAGATCCTGACACCTCTAAAATCCCAAAAATCAACGTAAAACGGGGATAAGTCTATTTAAAAAATATTTTCGACACATTAAGGGTAATTTTGAAATTTTATTTTTAGCCTATCTGAAAGCCCTTGAAATTTGCTACAAGAAACATTTGCTTTATTTTCCAGCAAAAATCCATAAGCGAGATACAGGTGGTTAAACTTCAGGAGCGATCTGAACGGTCATTTTTGTGGACATTTAGCCGTTTTTTGTTGATGCGAAAGTTTAACCTCTTGTATCTCGCTTATGGATTTTTTCTGAAAAATAAGGCAAATGCTATCTTGTAGCAAATTTCAAGGGCTTTCAGATAGGCTAAAAATAAAATTTCAAAACTACCCTTAATGTGTCGAAAATATTTTTTAAATAGACTTACCCCCGTTTTACGTTGATTTTTGGGATTTTAGAGGTGTCAGGATCTCGGCATTGAGTTGAGATATGGGCCTAATTTTATTTTATTTTTATATAATATTCCTATATATGGTTGTTGGAATTTTTGTGGATTTTTTTAATGTTGGAAATATTAAAAATAAAAGTGGGTTATACTTATGAAACACATTTTTCAGCAGAAATTTCGAAAAAAAATTAATTAAAATTTTTGGATCGAACAAAATTTACGAAACTTTGGGAATGTTCGTAGATCAGTTAAATGTATCTAAATACAAAATCTCATAAAGATAACTTAATTAAGCAACGAAAAATGTAAAAAAATTAAAGTGGGTTATACTTTTGAAACAGAGTGTATATAAATAAAGTAATTAATGAAGAATTTGAGTGGTTAAAACTTGGATTTCGAAGAGGAGTTTTGGAGAAGTTTATGAAAAAGGAAAAAATAAAAAAATATAGAAAATTTAATGTTAAAGTGTTTATTGAATTTAGAGATGATTTGTTAAAAATTGATAAGGAAATTGAAAATTGTCAGCAAGTAAAGGATCCAATACTAGCTGTGTTTAGATATGAGGGGAAAGATGATTTGATACATCAAGAATTCCGTGGGAGGTCTGTAAATTATTTTTGTAAAAGATTTTAATGTTTATTCTAAATATTTATAGAATGGGTGCTCAAATAATTGCTTCAGTGTATAACGCCAAACAATTGACAAAAGATATATTAAGGGCTATGCTTTTAAGTATGGTTGGCGCTGGAATAATTGCTGCAGCTCTGGATCTTGGCGTTTGGTTTTTAGTAATTAAAATAGTTTTACATACAAAATGTCATATGTGTGCACAAATTGTTGGTGCTTTACTTTACTCTTTAACACCCCTTTTTGCTGAAACTTTCGATTCTCTTGTAATTAAAAGATTATTAGTAACATTTGATGGAGGAGAATTTTGGCCTGATACTTTGGATAAATTTAATGATAATTTAAAAGATGCTTTTGTTGCTGGAAGAATTGCAGCTGCTGGTTCCATATTTAATAATATATTAGGAATGGAAAAGATTACAGAAAGATTGGGAGTAAGATTATTGTTTCCAAGTGTTCCTTCTAATCAGGTAAACTTTCATATATGAGTGTTTGGATTAGAGAGAATCGAGATTAGAGTGAAAACGAGGATAGAGATCTCAAAGATCTCTATTCTCGCCCCGATTTCTAATTTGGATATGTCGGAGGATATATGTAATTACCTTTACTGTCATTAATCATACCAGAGTAGAACTAGTTACTGATATTCGAATCATTTTTCTAGCAAAAGAGATATGAATCGTGAGATATACGAAATTTTTGGTTCGTTTATCGGATATCGGGGGGTTTCTTCCCCCTATATGCCGGATTTCTACTAAAAATATTTTAAAAGTTAACTATTTCCCCATAGTTGTACCATTATTTCTAATAGTTTCCACTTAAAATTAAAGATAGCAACATCCACCTCTGGTGCAATGGTACCTTTAGAATTTCATGAATGGCGTGATCATCAACGTGCTGCCCTCTATAAATTATACGATCAAGGATTTCTTCCAAAACCAAATATAAACACAATTGTTGTTGAATGGAGAGAAAAGAAAAGGAATAGAATTTGGCATAAAGTGACATTTAAACATTTTATTCAAAAAACATCTCCAATAATTACATCGGAAGAAAAAGATTTAGCCTTTCGTGAACATATAAAATCAAAAATTGAGGCATCTATGGATATTCAAAAAACATCTGCTATGGCACTTAATTCAATGGGAATTGGCTCTTTATTGAGCCAAATTGTTTTATTAGTCTTATTTTTCCCTGTTCGCAAAGGAATAATATCAGAACCTGTTGAAAAGATTTTTTTAATTATTGTGAATACTCCAACTGAAATTCTTTCTTTTGGTGCTGGAATTATTGCCTCTAAATGGGGCGCAGAAAAAGTTGAAAAATGGTGGAGTAGTGATGATATGAAAAATAAACAGATGGTAAGGATTGAATTTATTTTCTTTAGTTTAATCCTTTGAGCACATAATTAAATTATTTAAATTTTACCCACCATCCATTTCTCTAGTAAATCGAGGTTGGAGGAGGGAAGTATTTTAATGTTTCAAAATTATTTTTTTTGAGATTTGATTATTAAATTTAGTGACAAATTTCTTAAAATTAGAGAAAAATAATTTTAATTTTCATCAAATGTCTAATATTTATTTTAAAGATTCGTCTTATAATTGACCGAACAATAAAACAAATGGATCATCCAGATAAAGAATTTCAAGAAATTAAAGAAAACGAGATATATAAAATATATCATCCAAAATTACAACTTTTGTTCAGATACGGCAAATGGATCACAAAATTTATGATTGTCACCTTTAAATTTATGACAAAACCGTCATTATTTAAACAAATAAATTTGAGTAAAATGACACTTCCTTTATTTAAAGAGGAAGAAATAAATGAGGATTTAAATTTTAAAATTTCTTATTTGCCCGAACCTCTAGATAAAATGACAAAAATGCCGGGAATTGATGAAGAAAAATTAAATGAATTTATTGAAAATATTGGTTAGTTTGTTAAATAAATAAATAATATTTGGGGAAAATAATAGACAAGAAAATTTGTTATATTATATGGTCTCATTTTCAGATACCGAACAGAAAATATTTTATTAATTCAAAAATTTAGAATAAAATTTTCCTAAAAATTAAAATTTTTTCTTTCATTTTATGAGGACTTAAACAGACTTAAGGGGCGGAAATATTCACAAATCGGTGTCTAATTTATTTTCTAACAATTTTAGGAGAATATTTTGAGAATCACAAATTAACATTAACTGAAAGTCATCATTATATGACAATTTTAAATAATTGGGAAGACAATAAAAATGGGGAAAACTCTAAAAATAGGGGAAAATTAAAAGAATTGATAGAAATAAATGAAGGAGAGGAAACATTTTTTGATTATTTAAAAAGGATAATATTAGACGAAAAATATGAAAAAATAAATTTTGAAGTAAACAATACATTTGAAAAAGTTTGTAAAATATTTAATAATAATATTTAATTTATTTTTAAAAATACAATATTTTATATTGGTATACCAATTAAGGAGTTTTAAGGAAATAACAATTTATAATATACCGTATTTCCTAAAATAATACTCCCCCCTGAATTAGTACTCCCCCCTTAAATAATACTCCCCTTCGGAGGAGGGTTGAAAAATAGTACTCCCCCCTTAAATAGTACTCCCCTAAAATAGTACTCCCCCCTAAAATATTTTTTTCCTATATTTAAAAAAAATATAGTAGACTCAATGAATTATTTTATTGAAATTTATTTATTTATTTTATTTATTCTACATAAGTAGGTTGTCGGTTTCACTTGATTCTTCGATAACCGAAACCGAACAAGTTTCGGTTACCGAAAACGAACCGAAATTTTAACCTAAAATTTGTCGACGATTAAAGAGATATATTGTGATTAGTTGGTGGGATAAAAGTGGATTTGAGGATATAAGTGATTATATCGGGTGATAAAATGTGTTCTGGATTGATAAGTGGGGTCTAAAAAATATCATTGCATTATGGTTTCATAAACGAATTTGAGGGAATAATGAAGGATGAGTCATATTAGGCGATTTTGGTTGATTAAGAGTGATAAAGATATGAAATTTAATAATAAATCCTCCTTAATCCACAGATATTTTTTCGTTACCTCTAATCAAAAATACCCAGACATCCAAACACTGATATCCAACTTATCTCATTTGATCCCTGGTGCCCAAATATGGATATCATATAATTCGTAGGGATATTGGAAGAACAAAAGGAATATGAAAGATATCGGTGATTAATGCTGATAAATCCTTAGACACAGAGATTAGGACATCTCTAGACACAGGATTACACTAGACACAGGTAATCACTATACACAGGAGATTAGGTAATCTCCTGATAAATCCCCTTGAATGATGTCTAGGGGATTTTACGCATATCAAGTGTATAAATGTGTTCGGGAGTTCAAGATGGACGTAGAGTGTAAATTTAGATATCTAGTCTTAATCGCTTAAATCCCTTTATATCCCTCGATATCACTCCAAATCCACTAATCGAATCAAATCTTCCTGATCCGGCATTTTTAAATAACAATCTCTAATTCTAACATTTAGAATTTTAAAATAAATTTTCCTATAATAAATCATGGAGGAGGGTTGAAAAATAGTACTCCCCCCTCAATTAGTACTCCCCCCTTAAATAGTACTCCCCTTTGGAGGAGGGTTGAAAAATAGTACTCCCGGGAGTACTATTTTAGGAAATACGGTATTTAATTTTTTCTAAAATTTCAATATTTTTGGTTCGAAAATTCCCAAATTTTTTTATAAAATTTAAACAATTCTAAACTAATTATTTTTAAAAATTTGTGATTACATGGTAATTTAATGAAGTTTAAGTAATTTAATTTAATTTTTATGGCTTTTAGGAAGTCATTTATACCGACAAATTTTTAAATTATCATGAACTTTTTCCCCTTTTTATTTCTTAATCATTTAAATCCTGTTTTATATTCTCAACTTTTCTATTTATTAAAAATAATTTAACAAAAAAATTTTCAGATGGTGAAAATAAAAAATAAAAAAATTCTTTTGCCTGCACTAAAAAAGGGGTTAGAAAATTTTGAGACACATATAAAATACAAAAGTGAAATAATAAAATGTAGTTTATATGCAAAAATATTAAATTTTACTGCTTTGAAGATTGATAATGAAGATGAAGACGATTATAAAATTAGAAGATTAGGAACAAAGATTAATGAAGAAGAAAGTAAAATTGATACAAAATATTTGTTAAGAAGAGAATTTTTAACAAAATTACAAGAAAATTTAAATTATAATGATTTAAATCAAATTGGTTTGTTTTTGAATAATATTTTCGAAAATTGAAAATGAGTGATCTTTTAAAAAAAATTTGTCGAAATAAAACCGATATTTAACTAAAACTGAAAATGGGTTTTTAAAATTATGATTAAATGAGAACCGAGGGTAACTAGAAGTTAATAACCAATTGCCGGCAACAAACTTGGCTTATCTAAGAAGGCATTTTAATACTTGATTGGCTCTGGATGGAAGAGCTACTTAAGCGACACTTCCCTAGCTAAGAGAATATATAATTTTTAATAGTACTTCATTATAAGATAATATTTTTCATCACCAAAGTTGTATCCTATAGTAGGGTTCTGATTGTATTTCATAAATAATTAAATATACCTAATAAATTTTCACAAACTATAATTCTAATTACCCTCTTTTCTTTGTCTTCTATAATACAAAATCATTTTTAGAGAGTTTTGATATTTCTGAAAATGCTACAGACTTTCTTGCATTAACAATTAGAGAATTCCAAAATAAATGTGATTTTAAAATTTCTCCAAAAAATGTAATTAAAAATGATGGTTGGCTATATTTTTGGCAACAAGATGATAATGATTCTACAGAATATGAAAAAGTGGAGGAACATTTAACGTCTAATTTAAAAAAAGAATTAAATAAAACTTTAACAAAAGATGATAAATTTGAAAGAAAAATATGGGAAAGAACTATGGATATGGCTAGGAGACGGTTAAATTTAAATAAATATTTAAAAGAGATGGCTGAAAAAGTAGAAAATTTTAATAAAAATTTGAAAAAAATTATTAAAAAATTGGACAATCAAAATTTGCTGTTGAAAGAAATTAAAAAATTAAAAAAGTTGGAAGAAATTAAAGCAAAAGTAATTTATTTATATTTAGAATTTTAAACGTACAAACATATAAGAGAAAAAGTTAAAAATATTTCATTAGATTTGGTTTGGATATAGGCAGCTTTTTTGGGAATGACAAAATTGGAAACCTTAGGGGAAAGAAACTTCTGGAAAAATCTAAATATATTTCTTTAATTATATAAGGGTCTGAAAAATTGAAAATAAAATTAAGTATATCTCCATTATTCCCCGGTCAACAAAATTAAGAAAAAGAGCACAAAATTGTTTTGTACCTGAAAGTACATATTTAAAATTCATTATAAATTATATTTAGGTACAAGAAGAAGATAAAGCTTATCGTGAGCGCTTTATTTCAAAAATTGAATTTCTTGATAAAAATTGGAACTATTTGGTTAGTGGATATGCAGACATCGGCCATTTATTCATTGGTTATTGTTTAGCAAAACGTTTCCAATTTATTTTTAACAATGAGGGACAGGCAAAAACAAAATTTTATAAAGAAACAAAATCCCATTTATTTAAATATGCGAATAAAATTAATAAAATTTTGGGAAACAGAAGAGTAGATTTGGAATATTATAAAAATTTAGAAGAAAGTTTTAAAGAAAAAATTCTTTTAAAAATTGGAAAGAAAGGAGAAGGGTCTTCAAAAACAGTGGAAGATTTACATTCATTTTTGGATAATGATTGGGGAAATATATGTGCTATTGATAGAGGACATCCACAATTTGAAAAGACTGATGAATGGGCACTTCAGCATTGTAATTATTATTATTTTAATAAAATATAATGTATTTCCTCTATTAGAATGCACCCTCCAATAGAATGCCCCTTTGGAGTGTGATTGAAAAATAAAATGACCGGGCACTTTATTAGAGGAAATACGGCATAAGGAGATAATTAATTAAAATTTATATATTCAAATATATAAATTCTATAATAAACGTTCAGAAAATATTTAATTTAATTAACCCATTAATTTTAATTTTTTTAAAAGTAAAAACTGTACAAGAAGACAATTTCCATCTTGCTGATATGGAATTCATGGATGTTGAACCTATTGATTTTAAGCAAATGGAGTTTGATACCAATGAATGGGCTGAATTTAAAAAAGGAGCATGTAAAGGATTTTCTTTTTTTTGAATTTTAAAATGAATATTTTTTTACATTTTATTAAAATTTCAGTGGATCGTTTACAAATTAATCGTTTAACATTTACTGAAGCACACACATTTATTGTTTGTTTAAATAAAATATTGCATAAAATATCAAAAGATGGACACGAAGTCTCACGGGGGGCGATTGAAGGGATTTCTTTTGTAGAAGAAATTGAAACAGATAAAATAAATGACAAGGAATTAAGCAAATATTTAAAGGAAATTGAAAGTATTTATTGGCAATCCAAAGAAGAAATTAAAAATGTATTTAATTACTATATTTTAAAAGGACGAGTTTATTTTTATTTATTAGAGTTTCTATGGGAGAAATACTGTAAACTAATAAAAACACCCTCTAATTGAAGTACATTCTCTAATATAAGCACACCCTATGAGAGGATCGTAAAATAGAAGCACTGTGCTTCAATTAGAAGATTTACGTTATATATCAAGTAAAACAGAGTAAATACTCAGGGGATTTCAAAACATACTTAAATCGCTTCCCCTTAAGAATAATTTTAATAATCAAAAATTAAATTTTAAATAATTTAAAGTTGCAAGAATATCAAAATGACCACCAAAAACTAATTCTAAAAAAAGAATTATCTCGAATAGAAACAGAAATTGAATTAAAAGAAAAATTAAAAGAATTTGAATTATCTACATATATTTTGAAATTTGTTGTTTTAAAATTTTACAAAAATAATTTAATTGAAGAAAATGAAGAAAAAATTGTGGAAATAAATTCAGAAAATAAAAAAAATATAGAAAAATTAATTAAAAATTTAAAAAATAAATTTGGTAATTCTGAGGAAATTACAAAGTTAATCAAAAATCTGGAAAAAGTAAAAATTTCTAAAAATAAAGATTTGAAAGAATTTTTAAATAAAGTAATTCAAATTGAAGAAAAAATAAAAGAAAAGTTGAAAAAATTGGAAAATACGGGAAAATATGATTTAAATAAATTAAAAAATAAAAATATCGAAAAATTATTAAATGAAATAAAAGAAAAATTGAAAAAAGATGAGAAGGAATATATTGAAAGATTAAAAAATAAATTAATATTTTTAGTTAAAAATTTTGAAAAATTAACAAAAAATATTAAATTAGAAAAAGAAATAGGAGAAAATAGTCAAAAACAAAAACAGGAAATAATTGAAAAAGAAGGAGGAGAAATTACTTCTGAAAGGACATCGGTTAATTAATTAAAAATTAAAAAAAAGTTTTTATTTTGTATGGTGAATAACTTATACCTCCCGGTCCCGGTTATTTCAATTTTTAAAAGCCAGGTTTTTAGTTATATGTACAGTAAGGATATTTGAATGTTAATTTTTAGAAAAACAGCTAAATTTTCACTCAAGTTTTTCTGTTAATAGTAAAGGGCAACCTCAAAATTCCAATTAAAGAATTTACTTTCCTAACTAAACATTTAATTACCCATATAATGGGTATTTGTTTTTTTAATAAATTAATTTCTAGTGAGTAATCTAAAGGGGATAAAATAAAATAAAAATTTAGAACTCGAAATATTTTATTTTAGACTTCACAAAGTGATGGACAAATAAATATTTCAAATTTAATCGCCATTGGCTATTGTTTAACAAATAAATTTTTGGAAATATTTAATGAAGATGGAGTTGTTAATATGGATATTTTAGTACAAAATATTTCAAATACAAATTTGGTAGAATATGGACTGAAAATGAATGAAAAATTGGGAAAGAAAAGAGTTGATAAAATGTAAAAAGATTAATTTAAATTAATTTGAAATAATTAATTAATTTAAAGGTATTATCAACAAATAATTAATTTTTATAAAAATTTTATAAATATTAATTTAAAAAATCATTTGGAGAATAATTGGAATAATTATTGTTATATTGAAAAAAATGTGGAATTTGAGAGGCCTGAGGAATGGGCAGTTCATTATAGTAAATATTTATTGTAAAATTAATATTTTTAATAAATTTAAAATATTATCAAAAATCTAGAAAAATAACTTTAAAAAGACTAAAAAAGCTTTAAATATTTAATTAAAAATTAATTTATACTTTATTTACCTAATTTTAATTTAATAAAATTTAAAAATTTTTTAAATAAAAGGTAATGAAATTGGCATGCAAAATGATGGTTTTCGATTGGAATATATTGGAGAAATTGATAATTTTGATATTAATAAAGAAGAATATAAATTAACTTTAAAACAAAAAGAAAATATTTTCGAAGCACTAAGTAGGCAAAAATTAAAAAAATAATTAAAAAATATTTTTTAATTTAAGCGAGAAATTCAAATCTTCACAAAGTCACTTTCTTCGAAGCTGATAATATTCTAAATATTATTATTTCGAAAAATAATTTAAAAGAGCAACCACAAACAGAACAACAACAACAAACACAGATTCATTCAAAAGATGAAATACAAACAGAATTTGTTAAAAATATTCCTCAAACATCGACTTCTTCTATTGATGAAGAACAAAATATTTACAAAAGAATTAAATCCGAATTGAAGAAGGTTACTTTATGCATATCTAATTTTCATTTAAAAATTTTCGAATATTTTTAAAAACTATCGGAAGGGGTCGTTTAATATTTTTTTTGATTAAATATAAGTTAATACAGGAGGAGGTATGGTGTATTGATAAAACATCAGTCCGGTCAACTAAAGATACTGGTTCGCTCCCAGTCGTCTATGTAGTAACCTTCTGCATAGCTGAAGGAGAAATAGCTGTAGCCCAGGGGGGGGGGTATTGCAATATCCGCAATTTGCCAGTAAGGTTGGCGGATCCGGATATCCGGATCCGAAAAAAGGCCGGATATCCGGAAATTTTCGGTTCGGATACCGGATCCGGATATCCGAAATTTTCGGTTCGGATATCGGATCCGGATCCGGATATCCGAAAATTTCGGTTCGGATATCGGATCCGGATCCGGATATCCGAAATCTTCGGTTCGGATCCTAGAATTGGGGAAAAATGGAAGAAATCTAGTCCATTGATCTTTCTAACTTCCCAAAATTTTTGCCTGCGGCGCTGAAAATTAAAGATTTTTGTCTTAAGAGCCTCCCAAAATTTCAAAATTTTCGCCTGCGGCGCTAAAAATGGAAGAAATCTGGCTTCTTGACCTCCAAAATTCAGAAAATTTTCGCCTGCGGCGCAGAAAGGGGAAAAAATCTGGAGCCTTTGCTTATCATAATTAACAAAATTTCCGCCTGCGGCGCTAAAAGGGGAAGAGTTGTAAACATTTGTAAAAATCACATGCGGGTTTACAACTTTAATGAAATGTTGATGTATATGGATGTCATATAGAGGGATCAAGAATGATGGGATTAGAGCGGATATAGGAAATTAATCAAAAGTGCCTCTATATCTCTCGTAATTCCCAACCCCAGCTCTTAACCTCTCTATCATCTATTGGGACTCAATTTTACAGCGCCGCAGGCGAAAATTTTGAAAATAAAAATTTCGGTTCCGGATCCGGATATCCGAAAATTTCGGTTCGGATATCGGTTCCGGATCCGGATATCCGAAATTTTCGGTTCGGATATCGGATCCGGATCCGGATATCCGAAAATTTCGGTTCGGATACCGGATCCGGATATCCGAAGATTTCCAACTATCCGCCAACCTTATTTGCCAGAAATGGCATGCCATTTGCCAATAATAGCGATGGCAAACCATCGCCATCACCATGAAATGGCATTGGCAAATGGCGGATATTGCAATACCCCCCAGCTCTGATTTACTATATCAATATCCGGAAATCGAAAAAAATATTGAATGTTTTTATTGATGAGATATTTATTTAATAAAATAATTTTTGTAATAAATTATTTCAAAATTAAATTTCAAAAATAATTCTCCAAAATATATTTAAAGATAATCCAAGACGACGACGAAGAAAATAAGATAATAAAAACATCTAAAGTCAATTCAGAATTCTTCCAACAATTTGAATGGAATATAAAATTAAAAATAAAATATCAAAAATGTTTAGAATTAATTCTGTTTTTGAAAGCAATATTATTAAATAATTCTGATTTGAAAGAATTAAATAGTTCAATATTTCTTCAAATAAACGAGAAATATGAGTTAATTAATTTAAATGAAATAAATAAAGAGATTGAAGAGTTAAATTTAAATAAAAATTCAAAAGAAGGCAAAAAATTAGAAAAAGTTGTTAAATTGTCAGAATATGTTTATGAAAAAATTAGAGAATTAAATTATAAATTATTAGATAAAAATAATTTTAAAAATTGCAAGAAAGAGTTGGATGAAGCGTCTAAAGAAATAATTAATTTAATTAAATTAATTAAGAAAATAAATCCTTTAATTGGTTATTTTGAAGAATTAAAGGAAATTGAGAAAAAAGTTAAAAAAAGAAATAAAAAAGAGAAAGAGGAAAATGATGTTTTTACAGATGAGGAAATTAATTTAGGAAATGAAATTTTAAATAAAATGAATAATTTGATAGATAAAGCGATTAAAGAATTTAATGAAGGAATTGAGGAAAAATATAAAATTTTAAAAGAAAATGCGGAAAAAATAATTTTTGGAAATAAAGAAAATAAAAATTATTTTTATTTGGAAATTTTAACTGAAATTGATGAAATTAAAAATTATTTTAAAAATTCTGGTGATAATTTTGTTGGTTATTGTTTAACTAAAAGAATTGAAAATTCATTCAACAAAGATGGAACTGTGAAATTTTCTGATTTTTTGAGTGATGGTGTTGGGCATGAATATGGATTGGAATTGAAAGAATTTTTGGGGCAAACACGAATTGATATGAAGTATTCATATCATAAATAATAAAATTTTAATTAAAAATCAAAAATTAAAATAATTTGTTTAATAAACAAATTATAAAATTTTTAAATACAGACTAAGGGTTGGAATGTATCTTTTAAAGCTCAACCTCCTCCTTCAGTGGGTAGCCAAATTTAATAATGCATCTCAAATACATAGAGGTGTATTTACAAATCAGGTCCAAGGTATTGAATAGTCCTTCTCGGTCAATACTTTCTCGGTCATTACTCAATACCAATATTGATGAATCTTCTAATCCGAACAGGGATTTACTGATATTAGGCTTTTTTAGCTCCATAAATAAAAGCTAAAGTACCAAAAATTTGCTTGGATATTTGGCATAATCACAAGTAGTACATTTGCCATCATAATTTTTTTAATACTTATAATCTCTTAATTAACAATTCATTTTCTAGATACTATAAGAAAATTCAAAAACAAATTTTCAACAACCTTATAAATAAATGTCATGAAATTGGAAATGAATTTATTAAAAAGTGTGAATTGTTTATAAATCATGAATTACAAAATTGGCATTCTTTTTGCTCTATTGATACAGAAAATCTGCGCTATGAACGTTTTGAGGAAATGAATATTGTTCCAAATAAATTTTTGAATGAAGAAAATGTAAATGAGGAGAATTCTGTAGAAGAGTTGTCAGATGAGGATTGAAAAAGGAAATTGTAAAAAAAAGAAAGAAAAAATATTTTTTAGATTTATATTTAAATTTTATGTTTTTATTTTTTGGGTTTTTATTTACTAGAATTATTTCGAAGGGTATATTTCAAAATTTATATAGTAGTTTTTCTGTCAAGTTTAAAATTCCCGTTTTAGTTAATCAAAAATTTGTATATTTTTGATCCAAATTAAGAATTTTTTTTGAAAATTATTTTGACTAAAAAGGGATTAGGGGGATTCACATTTACTATAAAGAAAAACTACTATAGAAATGTATATAGAAAATTATGTAAAACTATATAGCTGAGGCAGATCCACAATGTGGCCAGAAATTTCAGAAATTGAATTTCAATTGAGGTGTGTCTGATATAAGAATGTATTTACGAGGGAGATTCGACTATTGAAAAAATGTGTTTTTTTATGATAGTCCTTCCTAGCGAAGTGATTTGTGAAAACTTGCTTTGAAGGCCCAGATTCGGTCGATATATGCTATTCGAAAAAGGTATTGATAGACTAAAAAAGCTCGATAAGTGATAAAAAAATGAATAATAGGTAATAAAAACTCGATGTCAATCGACTAAAAAAGCTCGACGAGTATTCCAATAGTTTTTAGAAAACCGTTTGCCTCCTATGGTTTTTCAATATTCAGAGACCCATCTATTTGTCTATAGTTAAGATTTTCCATAGTATATCGGAGTTCAGGCCAAAGCAAGTTTTACCGAGAATTGAAAGTCCCCATGGGACTATTTTATTGGATTAACGATATTTATTATTTAAAATGTAGTTTAGCACATTACAGTATAAATATTTCAAAAGTTTTTATTTTAAAATTTTTCTGTAAAATTTCAAGCATGGAAGAGGGGTAATTAATTGAGGGAAGGAATTAATCGAGGAAATATACTAACTTACTCTTAATAAAAATTTCTAAATTGAAAAACTGTCATATGTGGGAAAACTTAACTTTGAATAAATGTACGAAAAGTATAGTTTCTCCATAAAGAAACTAATCTATTTTCAAGCAAGTGTATCATAGAATCATCTTAATTTTAGATACCCCCTAAATAACTTTAATTTAAGGTCTATTTTTTAAATTTGCTAAGGGTAGAGGAGCTGCCTAATAAATAATCATTTAAGAAAACTTTAATTTTTTCATAATTTTAATTTAAAAAATGATTAATTTTTCTAATTTTCTAAAAAGTATTTCGTCATATTTTCATCTAAAAGTTTACTAAAATGTTAAAATTTCTAAGTTATGATTCATTTAATTTCTCCAAATTCTTTAAAATTTAATTAACCTTTAAATAATTTTTTACACTAATCTTTTCTATTTTTTAATAATTTTTCCTTCTTTCACATAAAATTTAAAAATGCTTTAAGAATTTTTTTTGAGATTACTACTTATTATTTTCAAAAAATATTTTTAGACAATAATTTGGTATATTTATTTTTTTAAATCAAAGCTTGTTTGTTAAACTCGCAATATATTCATACAACCGAAGTCTATTTTATTTTAGAATTAAAATTTTTGTAATTAGCTACTCTCTCTTAACAATATACCGTATTTTCTCTAAAATAGCCCCCCTATAAAATAACCCCCCCCCCCCTCTAAAATAGCCCCCCTCTGGAGGTCGATCGAAAAAAATAACCCCCGGGGGCTATTTTAGAGAAAATACGGTAAATATTTTAATAATTAAAAATTAAAATATATTTAATTATTTTTTATTTATTTTTTCTAAATAAAAATAAATTTTCTTTCCTAACCAACTTGTTCCATCACGTAATTTATCGTAAAAATTTTCATCTCCTCTCTCCCTTTTCCTCTCAACAACCTCTTTGCGCAATTGAGAAAAGCACAAAAAGTGATAGCTTTGTTGAGGGGAACACATTCTTTTCTATTTGGAGAGAAAATATTTTAATAGAAGAAACCACTCTCCATTTATGCGCAAAAGCTATTGATTTTTAGTTTGGATCGTTCACAATTAAAAAAAGCCGCAATTGAATTTTTAGAGAAGAATTTTGATTTTTTTTTGAAGACAAAAAAATTTATAAATAATTTTTTATTTTAAAAATCAGTCACAAAATTCTTGAAATATGTATAATTTAATTATATTAAATTAATTAGTATTACCCTTTTTCAATTCATTTATAGTAAACAAAAATATTTTTAATTACTTCCGTGTTTTTACATTAATAATTTATTTAAATTTAAATTTAATTTATTGCTTAGGGAAAGTTTTTATTTTTTCTTTAAATATGTAATTTTGTAAGTATCTTTATATAAAATTAATAATTTTAGTTTATTTTTAAAAATAATTTTATAATTTATTTTATTTCAATTTCTACATTTTAATTTTACAAAAAATAAAAGAAATATTTATTTATTTATTTAGATCAAGTTCTACAAATTAATTTCTTTCCCCCAAAAACGAGTTTTTTTTCTTAATATCGATAACTTTTTCTTGGCCTTATTTCCTGTATTTTTACACAATTATTATTTAATAATAAGTAGGTAGTAATTGTCTTTTTTTATTTTTATTTTGAATTGAAAATATTTTACTAAAATAAATATTACAAGTTTTTGTTCTTCAAATTATTTTTAAAGGGAAGGATAGACATTTATTTAGATTTTTCTTTGAATAAAATTTTGTTTATCAAGACTCTCAAAATGTTCGAGAAGTCTTGAAATATTATAAGAGTATAAAGGAAATAAAATAATTTTATTAAAGAATAAATTTTATAAATTGAAAAAGGTACTTTCCCGTTATACGGCCGCAAACTGAGTACCAGCCGACTTTGAAAAGCTATAACTTTTCGATGCTTGATCCAGTACAAACGAATTAGATATGATTTCAAAGCCCTAGATAATCTCTATCTTTTTCTAATAAGATAGATCAAGTTTTTCATTCATTAAAAAGTTATAGCCCGATACGTTATCAGTTTGAGGTCGTATAACGGAAAAGTACCTAGAAAAATCTAAAAATTAAAAAAATCTTAATTTATAAAATAAAATAAGATGCAAAAATTCTTAATTTTTTGCAATTTACCAGCTAAAACTTCTTTAAAATTCATTTTCTCCTTTTCTTTTTTCTAAAATCGCTAGAGGTGCTAATTTTCACTCGCGCCTTCAAAATAATTATATAAATTATTCTCCAATCAGTTAAATAAAAATATATTTATTTATTTATTAGTCAAAACCTCCGATGAATCAATGCTTTTTTCCTCAATTCCCTTCTTTTTAATTAAAAAATCTCATTTAATTTTTCTAAATTTTTTTAGTTTAAAGTTTAAAGACAAAAATTTGTCAAAAAAATAGTACAAATTTTATAAAAATGAAAATAAATTATAAAAATCCCCTTTTCAACACATTTTTAGAACAACAATTATTTAATTTAAATTTTAAACGACGGAAAGAACGATGGAGAATTAATAAATTAATATTATCACAATTTCTAACAAAATTAAAAATATTTTTATTTATCTTTATTTTATTTTGTAAAATAACAAAAAATGAAGGTAATTAATTAATTGTTTGTTACTAAATATGTATTGTTAGCTGCCTAATGAAGGGGGGAGGAGACACCAATTATTTTCTTAAATTATTCTCAATTCATGTTTGTAGAAGGATATAATTTAAAAATAAATATTTAAATAAATATATAAAATTTATTTATTTTTTGTTAATCTCAAGCATTACAACGTGTTAGTGAATATCAGCGTTTTGATGGATGGTTTAATGTAAGTTCATTTAAATTTTAAAGAAATTTCAATTTACAAAAATTAATTTGTAGAATTTGGCAAATCCACAATGGGGTATGTTTTTGGAAATAAAAGAAAAATTATTAATTTCAAATTTTTAATTAAAATAATTAGGAAGTGTTGGAAGTCGACTACACAGAGACGCGCCTAGCAGTTATCAAGATGGTGTTTACAGGCTGGATTCATCTTTGCCTTCAGCTAGGGTTATTTCCGGTAATTTTTAATAAAAGATTATTGAGATTAGAAAGTCTTCTAATTTTGCAGAATTAATGTTCAAAGGAGAGCCAGGTATTCCTAGCAGGCGCAATCTGACAACGATGTTTGCCTTCTTTAGTAAGAAATAAAATTAATTTTTGTAAAATATGTAGAGGAATTGAGCTAGCTGGATTTCTTTGGCTTACTGAATATTGAGAAAATAGATTTAAGGCCATTAAGCATGAATTTTAACATACACTTAAAATCTAAATAGATCACGTTCATTACATTTTAATTAATAAAAGGTCAGGTCATTGCCTATGAAATAATGCAATCAACACAAAACAGTTGCCCTTTGGAAATGCATAAAATTCCTGTCGAACGTTGTGATCCAATATTTGACAAGGATTGTGAAGGAAAAACTGATATTCCTTTTACTAGAGCAAAATATGACAAAGGGACAGGACATGGATTAAATTCTCCTAGAGAACAAATTAATGAAAGAACGAGTTGGTTAGTTGTTTTCTAAAATTATTTAAAATTAAAAATAAATTTACAGGATTGATGCTTCCTTCCTCTATAGTACTCAAGAGCCGTGGGTAATTTTTTGTTAATTTTATGATCAAAATAATAAATCTCCTTCTAAGGTTGCAGCATTACGTTCATTTGAGAATGGCACTCTTCTTGAAGGCCCAATGCCGGGCTACCCTCCTTTCAACGATCCACACATCCCTTTAATTAATCCTCCACCTCCACAAATTCATAGATTAATGAATCCTGAACGACTTTTCAGTAAATAACTTTTTAAAGGATATATTCTGATTTTATTATTCTGTTTAAAGTTTTGGGTGATCCAAGAATTAACGAAAATCCCGGTCTTCTCAGTTTTGGACTAATTCTCTTTCGTTGGCATAATATTCAAGCTTTGAGACTACAACAGGAATTTCCGGAATGGACAGATGAAGAGCTTTTTCAGGGAGCCAGACGATTGGTTATTGCTACTTTACAAGTATAGTTTTGACTTTATTAAAAAGGTGTACATCCTTTTTGTGACTCCTTACCATCAGATTTCTTAGGAAAACTAAGTGCCATGTAAATCGAAGAGGGTTTCAAAAGTTTTCATTCATCAAAAAATATAAAATAAAAATTAATTCTAACTATTATAAGCAAGTTTTTCAAAAAATATTTAAAAAAATTTATCTTTATTTAAAGAGTATCGTTCTTTACGAATTTTTGCCTGTTCTGCTAAGCATTTCAAAAGAAGAAATACCAGAATATCAAGGCTATAATCCTCATGTTCCTCCAGGAATTTCTCATTCATTCGCAACTACAGCCTTCCGATTTCCACATACTTTAGTACCTCCAGCATTATTACTTAGAAAAAGAAACGGAAAATGTGAATTTAGAAAAGAGGTAATAATTAATTTAAAAATAAAATTTTAAATAAAATAAAGGTTGGGGGCTTTCCAGCCCTTAGACTCTGTCAGAATTGGTGGAATGCACAGGATATTGTACGTGAATATTCTGTTGATGAAATTGGTTAATTAATAATATTTATTACCCAATCAAAAATTTCTTTTTTAGTCTTAGGAATGGCTTCCCAAATAGCGGAGGATGAGGATCATATAGTTGTTGAAGATTTACGTGGTTACTTGAAAACAAAAAAATTTTTGAATTAAAAATAATTTTTTTTTAAGATTTTATTTTCGGTCCAATGCATTTTACTCGTCTAGATGTTGTTTCCACTTCAATTATGAGAGCAAGGGATAATGGATTACCTGGATATAATCAATTAAGAAAAGCATATAAATTAAAACCAAAAGATTGGACTACAATAAATCCAAAATTAAACGAAACAAATCCCGAAGTTTTTTCTTAGAAAAAATAATTTTTATAAAAGTATTTTTCCTAAAGAAAATAAATAAACTGGCAAGTCTTTATGACTTTAAAATTGACCGTTTGGATGCTTATGTTGGGGGAATGCTTGAAGCTGATGGAAATGGACCTGGAGAACTTTTCTCTGCAATAATTAAAGATCAATTTCTTAGACTTAGAGAATCTGACAGATTTTGGTTTGAAAATAGGCAAAATGGGTAAAAATTAGAGGAAAAAATTATTTTAAATTTAAACTTTTTATTAGATTGTTTACTGATCGAGAAATATTTTTTATTAGAAGAATTACTTTAAGGTGAGGAGATAATAATGATTTTTTAAAATTATTTTTGTTCCTGTATATGCCTCAAATAATTACCCCGAGTAATTATTATTTCAACGTTTCGGAGGGGGAGTAATTAATTGAGAGGGGCACTTATTTGAGAGATGGAGATTATTCGTGTTATACGGTACTCTTAACAAAAGGTAAAAATGTGCCAAACAAATTTAGTATTTTTATAGAGATATAATTCGACAAACAACATCTATCGGAAAAGAAGATATTCAAGAAAATGTAAAAATAAATTTAAATTTTATTCAGAATTTTGTTTTAATTAAAGGTATTCTTTTGGAAAAATGGCGATCCGTGTCCGCAACCTTTTCAAGTTAATATTTCTAGTCTTGAAAGTTGTGTTCCTTTTATGCGTTTTGATGTAAATAATTTTTAAAATTAATTAAAATTAAAGTTTATTTTAAGCATTTTACTGGAAATGAAGTTACTTATATATTTACTTGTATTGCTTTATTTACTATACCTTTAGGTAAATAAATATTAATTTAATTTTAAATAATTTTCTAAAAAAGTTTGTATTGGTATTGGTTATTTACTTGTCCAAAGAAGAAAGAAAATGGGAATGTTATTCGAACCTGGTGCCATTAAAAAACAAAATCAGGAATCAACAGAGGATGAGGGAATTATTGCAAAAGATCAAAAACTTGTTTTTCCTGGTTAATAAAATATTAAAATAATCTTTACAAAAATTAATTTGGGCGAAATTTAAAATTAATTTGAATTTAAAACTAAATACAGGAAAATTTTGATTTTTGTATTAAACCATGTAACCATTAACTAGAAATTCATTAGATATTTATGTAGTTAGGGACATTAAATAATTATTTTTAAATAATTTTTAAAAAATATTTTTTAGCAATTGAATGGTTAAATGAGACATTTTGCAGGTCATTAATTTCCTTAACTTAAAATTTTCAATAAAAATTTAATTAAAGATCAATACTCGTTGAATTAAATTCAGAATATTCTCAATTAAAAATTTTGAAGCGTAGAAGTGGAGGAATTTTGCGTAAATTAGATTTTGGAGACGTTAATGTATTGAGATTAACTGTAACAAAAAGTGGAAGTGTAAGGAAAGGACAAGGGCCATTTGTGTGTATTTCTTTACCAAAAAATTATGATGTTGTTAGTTAATTTTGGAAAAGAATAAAGGAAAATTAAATTTATTATGCCAGGTTTTAAGGCTTCGTTCAAAACATCAATGGTCAAAATTCCGTTCTTCTTTAGGGAATTGCCTTTTAAAACACGGGAAACTTTTAAAAGAAGTTGAAGCAGAAAATGATGTTTTACTTGAAGCAGCAGAAACAAAAGATAAAAGACAATCTAAATTGGACCATTTCTTTCGAGAAGCTTACTCTAGAGTATTTAGAAATGAAAATTATTTTTAATAAAGAAATAATTTTTGTAAAGGCATTTAATGACCCAGCATTAAGTGATTCTTCCCAGATATCTAATACAAATTTTAATTCAATGCAGCAAGTAATGGCAATGACTTTAACTAAAGCAGAATTTGCTGAAGCATTGGGAATGAGAACAAGTGATTTATTTGTTCAAAGAATGTTTGCTTGTATGGCAGCTAATTCTAATGAAGAAATTGATGGAGGGAATGATACAGTTGTGACTTTTCAGGTGGAGAATTAGAAAATATCATGGAAGACTTTGTTTCGATAGTAGTTCAAGGAAGTACTACCTCTTTAAGATACACCCAATACTTGATAAATCTGCGTTATCCTATTAAAATTTAACACATTATTATCCTATTAACTTTGGCCATTCTTGATATATCCTCTTAAAATATACATACCTCATTATAAGCTATAATTTCTGTTAACTAAGAGTGTTATTATTCAGATTCGATTGTCTACGAATATATTTAATAATATAAAATAATTTTAAAAGATTATAGACCATTATAATTTTCATTATTTTATAAAAATTTTATTTTAATCTTTTAGGAGTTTCTCGATGTCTTGCGTAAATTTACTCAAGGATCCTTAAGAGAAAAGCTTCAACTAGTCTTTGATATGTGTGATCTTGAACGTGAAGGGCGTGTTCAACGGAAACAATTTTGTGAATTTGTAAAATCTTTAAATATTGCTGCCGGTGTTAGAATTGACCAAGAAGTTTTTCTAAATTTTAATCCTAAATTTTTTTTAAAATAAGGTCCAAGATCAAGTATTAGAATGTGTTTTGAAAAGGGCAGGAGTTGACCCAGAAAGAGATATTTTAACTTACAAAGATTTTGAAGCAATATTTAGTCAAATGGTGGATATACGCAGACCTGTTGGTGTGCATTTGAGAGGAGTAAATATGAGAATTAATTTAGAAGAGTGAGTTGAATAATGCTTACAGTTAACCCTCATATTTAGATACTCCCAATATTGGGTACTTTTCAATCTAGGATACGTTTTTTTAATCTGGTTGGCGCTGGGTGGACGGAGCTGCACCCTATTTGAGATTCTCTTAATTGCAAGCTAGGTTTTTAACTTTAAGATTTTTTGCATTAAAGGGAGGGCATCTAAATATGAGGTTAGACTGTATTAAAAAATTTTAATTAAATAATTATTTTCCCTTTTTTTTTTTAAAAAGAACACAAAGTCTAAATAGTTTTGCTGTTACTTCAGAAGTTAAAGATCCATTTGACAAAAATTCAATTTCTTTACTTCTTAGTTATTTGGAAAGTTATAGACAACATATTGTTATTTTATTTCTTTTCTTTGCTGCAAATGCCATTGTTTTTTTAGAAAGATTTTGGTGTAAGTTTAGAAAATAAATTTTTTAAAAATATTTTTGTTTCGAATAGTTTATCGATATGAAAATGAACATCGTGATTTACGTCGAGTAATGGGAGTTGGTGAATTTTTGCTTTTAATTTTTTAGAATTTTCACAACAAAATTTAAGTCTCGATTAGTTACTATATTATCTAAAATCCCCTAATTTTAAATGAAATTTTTGTTTGATTTTTCTGAAAGTCAGGCTTATTTTTATAGGGGAATACTTGTACTTTATATTTAAGGGTACATTAAATTGGAAGTATAGATTAGACAGTTCTGCCTACTTAGAGACCAATCAAATAAAAAATTGTGCCTTATTGAAGGAATGCCTAATTTAGGGGATATCTAGAAATGAGGCTCTTATGTTTACATCATTTAAATTTAGCGAAAGAAGGAAATTTTGAAATTAAAAACAAAAAATATTTAGGGATTGCCATAACTAGAGGAGCAGCTGCAGCTCTGTCCTTTGATATGGCATTAATACTTTTGACTGTTTGTAGAAATATTTTGACAATTTTACGAGAATCTTTTGTTGGAGAAGTTTGTTATTTTTGGATTTCTTTGAATTAATGTTCATTTATAAAGTATATTCCTTTGGATTCGGCTATTACTTTCCACAAAATTGTTGCGATAACGGCTGGTGTGTTTGCAGCAATTCATACAATTGGGCATTGTGTCAACTTCTACCACGTTGCAACGCAAAGTCAAGAGGGGCTTGCTTGCCTCTTTCAAGAGGCAAGAGCTAACAAAAAATATTTTTTTTATTAAAATTCTTTTTGAAGGCTGTTTTTGGTTCCAATTTCCTTCCATCAATTTATTATTGGTTTTTTCAAACATTAACTGGCCTTACAGGAATTCTATTGGTTTGATTCCGTTGCGAATGAAAATAAAAAAAATTCTTAAGGTTGCTTTAATGAGTATTATTTATGTATTTTCTGCTCCGGCAGTAATGAAACGTGCTTATCATGCTTTCCGTCTCACTCATTTGCTCAACATACTTCTTTATGCTTTCACTATTCTTCATGGATTGCCTAAACTTCTTGATGTTGTTTTTTATATTTTTATAATTTATTATATTTTTAGTCTCCAAAATTCTGGTATATTGTACTTGGTCCGACAATTATTTTCATTATTGGTAAGAGTTAAATGGTTTCAAAAATGATAAAATTTTTATTAATGTCCTATAATCTCTATTATATTCCACTGTAATAATTTTTTAAAGATCGAATTATTGGCATGCGAAAACAATATAAGCAATTGAGAATTGTTGAGGCAGCTGTTCTTCCTTCCGGTGCTTCTAGATTCTCTTCAATAATACTATAATCCTTATCTTATTAGATATAATCTACATTCAATTTAAACGTCCACATTCATTTAAATTCCGTAGTGGACAATGGGTACGTATTTCTTGTCCAGCACTCTCTTGTGCCTTTAATGAACATCATGCATTTTCACTTGCATCTGCACCACAAGCTCAAACTTTGGCACTTTTTATTAAAGCAGTAGGGCCTTGGACTTGGAGTTTACGAAATGAAATAACTGAAGCACAAGAGAATGGACTTGTTTATCCTGTCCTTAATTTGGATGGCCCTTACGGGGATGGAAATCAAGTAAAAATAAATGAAAGAGAAAGCTATAAAATATTTAAAAGGAATGGTATAATCACGAAGTTGTTGTTATGGTTGGTGGAGGTATTGGAGTAACGCCTTATGCTTCTACTTTAATGGATTTGGTATTGGAAAGGGCTTCTGGTAATCATAGTGGAATTAGATGCAAAAGAGTTAAAAATACAAAATAAATTTAAAAAATAATTAATTTTAAGGTTTATTTTCTTTGGATATGCCCAACACACAAAAATTTTGAATGGTTCGTTGATGTACTCAAAGAAGTTGAGAAATATGACACACAAAATCTTCTTGAAACACATATTTTTGTCACCCAATTCTTTCATAAATTTGATTTGAGGACGACTGTTTTGGTGAGTTTAGAGCGGACAGTAAAGATAGGAATGGAGTAAGGATAAAGATTAGGAATGAGAGCAGGGAAAGATGCATCTGAATTTCATGGATATCTCGAACAAAATTTCATTTTCCTCTAAATTTTAATAAAATATTTAAGTATATATGCGAGAAACATTTCCGTGGCAACAATTCTGGTCATTCAATGTTCACCGGTCTCAGAGCTACCAACCACTTTGGACGTCCAAATTTTGATTTATTTTTTAAATTTCTTCAAAGTCGGCATCAGGATGTAATTTTTAATTTAAATTAATAAAGATGATTATTTTTTAAAGGTATCCGATATAGGAGTTTTTAGTTGTGGGCCAGCTCAAGTTAATAAACAAATTAGAAGGGCATGTACAGAAGCAAACAGAATAAGAAATGCGCCGTCATTTGTGCACAGATTTGAAACATTCTAATTTTGAAACAATATTTTTTGTGATTAATAAATTAATTTAAATAAATTTTTTTAAATTTTTCTTTATTCTTCGAAGTTAAATTTAAAAATTATTGGACTATAAATATTTACTTAAACAAAAAAATATTTTAATGATTGATTTAAACAAAAGCTTTTTAAACAACAAATGCTCTTTTATTTTTTAATATAAAATGGAAGAAAAATTTATAATAAAAATTTTTGTTTCTATTGTCTATTTTCAATAGAAATATTTTTTAAAAATGTTTTTTAATTCATAAAAATATTTTCTATTTTTTTTCATAATTTATTTTAAATTTTTAAAAAATTCAAAAATAGGGGATAACCTGGACTTAATATTTCTCTATCTTTTCCTCGTTCCTGTACAATGATTTTTCCATCCACTGAAAATATTTTTTGTTTTGTATTTTATATTTAATTTAATTTTTTATATTATTTTATTTATCTCAAAAGAACATTTTTTATTTACTTTATCAATTAATTTTCATAAAAATATTTACATACTAAATATGTAAATTTATTTTTTTCGAATAAAAACAATAGTAACAAATTCAAAAATAAACTAGCCATTTATTGAAAATATTTTTGACATCAATTGTCATATTTTTATGAAAACATTTTCAAATTTTAAATACATTTTAAATCACAAAAATTATTAATTTCAAATAAATTTTAAATAATAAATTTTCTTCAAAAACATATTTAAATGCATAAAAAGTGTGTTTTATCATTTCTTTATTTCTTAACTTTCCTTAAAATATTTAAATCCTCCCTATATTTTCTCACAATATTTGAACATTTGTGTATTTTAAAATATTTATGTAGAAGTTTGGGATTATTCTTTATTAAACATTTAATTTTAAATTTGTTAAGTTTTTTTGAATTTATTTGGAAGAGTTGTTGTAAATTTGCAAAAAATGCTTATTGAAAAATTTTTTTCTATAATTTTCTAATTTAAACAAGTTTTTAGTAATTTAAGTGTTACCAAAATTAATTTTTAATTTTTCAAAGAATATTTTTTTAATTTTATCATTTTTAATTAATTTATTTTAATTACTAGCAATTTATTTTTAAGTACTTTAGGCTAAAGTTTTTTCTCGAAAAAAAACTTTTTTTCAATAAATATTTACCACTAGCCAACAAATATCTTCGAATCCTCTCAAGTTTTTATGACTGCCACTCATTCTCTTTTAAAGATATTCAATTCTTTTTTATTTTTTTTATTTTCCACAGGCCCATTAGCCTAAAAATAATTTTTTTCTAAAGCTTATATATAAAATACCACAAATTTTAACCAAGTCCAGAGGCCAATTTTCCCATAAATGAATGAGTGCCGATTGTTAAAAAACAAAAGAAATAATTTATTTTATTCTTTTTTTTGAGTGCCGGCAATGTTTTTTTATTCCACTCATTTTGTCACTCTTCAATAAATATAAAAACATTTTTTTTATTTTAAGAATTTTTTAAGTAAAAATCTTTTTAAATTTTATTTTCAATAAATATTTTAACCAATTGTTTTTTCTTATTATTTTTTAATATTAAATTTTTCTATAAAATTAAAAAAAATATTGTTGAACTTTTAAAAATATGTAAACATACCTTTATTTGAAAAAAACAACGAGAGTGAAATTTGATACATTTACTATGTATTTTAAAAATTATATAAAAATTCAAAAAAATTTTTTTGACAAAACTATAGTATAGATAATTCATTATAAAAATAAAAACATTATTTATTAAAAAAATTACTTTATTATTTAAAAAAATTTTTAATTTTTAAAAATTACTTTTATTTATTTATTTAACATAATTTCAAGTATTTATTCCTAAATTATTCCATTTTTGGTCTTCATTTTCTTTTCTTTTTTCTAAATAAGTCAAATAATTTTTAAGCTTATTTACTTCTATTCATTAACCTTCCCTATCATCACCTACTAATAATCCTCTTTTTGTTTTTTGGAATTTTCAAGCAGAAAATCGCGTCATTTTTTTCAATCCTGGGAAATAAGCGAAAGAATAAATAAATATTTTGAGAGAAAAGTGAGAAAGTCTTTTTAAAGATTAAAATATTTAAATGCTTGACTGGCACTTGAAGTAAAGATTTTATCAATCATTGAATATATGAGAGAATAAATATTTAAAGAAAAAGTTTTCTTGTTTAAAATTTTTTGGAATTATTTTGCAAAATAAATACAATTCTAATATAAATATTAATCAATTATACATATATGTTAATTAACTTGTTGTTATTTATTTCAGACATGTACCTGGTATGATATATTGATGAGGACAATATACGTATCCGTTTATATCCTTTCATGTTTTGTATCATATCCATCCGTGGGTATCCGCGGATGGATATAAGGGTTCAAAAAGTAAAACGTTAATTAACTTGTTGTTATTTATTTCAGACATGTACCTGGATCCACGGACCTATCCACGGACCTATCCGTTTTTCAAAATGGTCAGTTATATGATGGATATCCGCGGATTTGGAGCTCATATCCGTATTCTATTTAAAAACACTATACATAACTGTCCTTATCCGCGGACATCCGTGGATATCCGGATAATCACAGGTCTGATTTATTTTACTCTTTCCATTCAAAATATAAAATTTTAACATTTTTTAAAAATTTTATTTTTATGTTCATGTGAATATACCTTTTTATTGTTCTTTTGATTTGGGGCGCAAAGTTTTCTTTTGCGTCATGAAAACGTGTGAACTGAATATAAAAATAAATTATTCTATGAATAAATAATTTAAATAAAAAATAATAACAAAAGAATTTTTTAAGAAGATTTTTACTTTTTCCCTAAATATTTTTTGGTGTTTTTGTTATTATAATAAGGGTTTTAAGGGTTCACAAATTAAAACTTTTTTCTAAAAATTAGTGAAAATCTTTTTTTTTATTTTTTAAGTTGGATGATTGTGGGATATGGGAATGAATCCTCATGTGTAGGAAATAACCAAAATCAACTTTATTATCTTAGAAACTTTTTTCTTTTTTTTGTTAAAAAACTAAAAATAATTTTTTTAAAATTTCTTATTTCAAATTCCCCTTTTTATTTTCTTCTTTAAATTTTTTCTTAGAAAAGTTTTTACTTAAAAAATTCTTTAAATCTTTTTTTCTATTAATTTATTTTTAATTCTAAAATTGTTCTTGTCTACTATTCCAAAATGCAAACAATATATTTTAACCGTTAAATGAATGAAAGGTTTTTTAAAAGTGTGGGGAATTTAAATTGTGGGAAATGAATTCCTCCTTCGGTTAATGAACTTCTACTATTTTATTTTTTCTTTCTAAAAATTTTCTTCCGTTTTGCTAAAAATAAAAATTAAAAGATTTTTTAAAAGAAACGATTTCTCCTTTTTTTAAATTTAATTAAAATAATTTATATTATTTTTAAATTAATTCTCTCTCTCTTTTAAAAAACAAAATTAAATAAATATATTTAAATATGTATGTACCACACATGTTTTTCTCCTTTTTTTATATGTATAAAAAATTCGGCACTATATGAAAGGAGGTCGATAATCGTTTTTTTCATAACTATTTTCATTAACCTTTTTCCTTCCTTAATTACAAATAATGTTCAGTCTTTTCTTCCTCGTTCAATTCCACTCTTTTTACCTGTGGCATATTCAAATGAGGACAGACAAAAACACACACACGGACAGAGAACACGAGTGTGTCTGTTCGTGTGCTTGTCTGATGTTTTGTCTGTCTGTGTCCGTCCGTGTTTGTCTGTACGAGTCCGTCCGTCCGGACGGACACAGACAGACAAAACTCGGACGGACTCGGACAGACAAACACGGAATGACACAGACAGACAAAACTCGGACGGACTCGGACAGACAAACACGGAATGACACAGACAGACAAAACTCGGACGGACTCGGACAGACAAACACGGAATGACACAGACAGACAAAACACCAGACAAACACGAACGGACACGAACAGAAAACACTCGTGTTTTGTCTGTCCTCATTTGAATATGCCACAGGTAAAAAGAGTGGAATTGAACGAGGAAGAAAAGACTGACCATTATTTGTAATTAAGGAAGGAAAAAGGTTAATGAAAATAGTAATGAAAAAAACGATTATCGACCTCCTTTCATATAGTGCCAAAAATTCTTTCCACTAAAACAAAATTAAATCTTTACTCTAAAACGAGTTTTCTCATTAAACTTTATTTAAATGCTAAAAAAGGTAATAAAAAAAAAGATTTATATTTTTATTCTCTAAATTTAGCTATTTTTAATTATTTAAATGAATATATTTTTTACAAGATTTGTGCAACTTTAAAAAATTAATTTCCTTGAGAAAAGATTTATTTTAATCTTTTCTATAATTAATTTCACACGTTTTAAATCATTTTAATATATATTACGTTTATTTAAATACCCACACATTAGAACTAAAATAATTAATATTAAAATATACATAATTATTTAATTTAATTTTCATTTTATAATTAAAATACTTGTAAAATACTCTCCTCAACTTCCTTTAACTTTTATAATTTTTAAATATATTTTTTCCTTTTTTTTCTTTATAAATTAGCCTAATTAGCTCACTTTTTGTTCCTCCTCCTTTTTTTTTAATTTCAAAACGTGTTAAAGTCCAAATATTTTTATTCAAAAAAACAAAAAATGTCTTTTCCGTTCATCCTCTCCCATTTTATTCTTTTCACTTTTTTGTCCTGTCTTCAACAGCTCTCCCTCCCCCCTCTCTTTTTAGACATTACCAAACAAAAATACTGTCCTTTTTGTCTCCAATAATTTTCTAAAAATTTTTTTTACCCCTTCTTCCGCTCCCATTCCCTTCATTTTCTCCTTTTGTGCAGAAATACATGTTTGTGTGTGTTTTGGGAGGATAAAGAAGGATTAGGACGAAAAGCTAGGGCCAAAAGGCGGAAAAATCTTTTGGAGGCACGCGACAGAAACAGTCCCTCCTAATGAGCCCCTCCGGACGGA